CTCTAAAATACTCCGTACACTTTCCTTTTGTTCTAACAATCAACAGATAATTATAAAATAAATGTGACGTGCAATCGTCTTTTCTAACCTAATTTCCTCATTATCTTGTCATATTAATTTTCCGATTATCTATTGATTTTTAGAACAAAAGGAAAGTGTACGGAGTATTTTAGAGGTGTACTTAATCGATCGCAAATGTCGTTTTGTGGATATATCTGTTTATCTCGACGTATTTTGCAGGAATTTTTAGCATGCGTTTTCTCGCTTCTGACGTCATTAAAAAGAGATGGATGATGCGACTCCCCAGGAGTCTTAATCACTCGTCGCAATATTTGATCGGCACACTTTTCGGCTCTCGCGGCCTCCCGCGTCCATTTTCCACGCGAATCCTTTTCCTTTTCGCTGTTCCCATCTCTCTGCCGCCGCACGACCACTTTTTACAAAACTCACCCGCACCCTTGCTTCCGACTCGCGCAACGTTCTTTTCTTCGTGACTGATGGCCGACGATGATAAAGCGACTTGGAAATTTGTACAACGACTCTCTTCCAGTGGCCGATTCATGGCGGAGATCGAAAGCGCTTTCATCAGGACGCTTCGCTCCGAAAGAAGAGAACCACTCGCGCAATCTCACTCTCTGCGTTTCAGAATAGCGTGATGCGTACAGGGTGGATAGCCGTAGTGGGTGATCTTCCATTAGTCGAATTTTTACAAGTAACGTGGCAAAAAACGGTAACCCTCTTTTGAAGAGGGAGAGACACGCCTTTTCACTGTTAAGTCTGCTTTCAGCAAGATGGTAGGGAGCGTTTTCCCTGGCCGACCGCGAGATATGTAAATTGGTTTCGAGCTGTGTCGCTTTTAGCGAGACACGTTAACTCGCACAGCAGTGCCGTCGTAGCGAGCGCGAATGTCGAGAAGAGAAGAACAGCATACTTCTTCTTAGATACACCGGCAAATGCGAGCGATAGACTACGCGTTTCCGCGACTTAATGGTCCTTTCCCTCGGAGAATCGGTAGAGGAGCGTCCTGCATTTTCACGATTCATTCCACGTCCGCGAGCACCTTGGAACAGCGAAAGGCTTTTTACCCTCCTCGGTAGCTCTCGAATTTGCAATATTTCTCCGGATTACGCGGCCGAGTCGAGCCGCGACGAGCGCGAGATGAAGATTGTTTACCTCTGGGGCGGATTCGGTCTTCAATGAGAGAGGGAAAGACGAAGATGAAGAAGAGAGAAAGAAAGAGAGAAAAATGAGAGAAATCAGAAGATACTTAAGCGTCACAACATGCGACATCGTACCGTCGCGAGTTATTATTTTCAAGAAAATATTTGCTGTTCGAGCTTCTCGTTAAAGAAGATTCTCGTCTTACTTGTCCACCGTGAATGCGCGCTGATAAAAACGGGCTTTTCCTTAACGATGCCGTGTTTGCGTCCGGTTTTACGCATAGACACGCGAATTATGAGAATATATATATATATATATATTTCTCTCTCTCTCTCTCTCTCTCTCTCTCTCTCTCTCTCTCTCTCTCTCTCTCTCTTTCTCTCTCTCTCTCTCTCTCTTGGTTAGGTGCAGAAATTCTCGCGAGGATTCTCAAAATCTCGTAAAATGAAAATATTTTGATATTATTTCATGCGCCTTCTTCTTCCAAAATAAATCAATATTTGAGAAGGTAATAATAATATTAATTATGAAATGACGAGAGAATGGATTAGATTGAATGTAGAAGGAGATTTTTAAATGTCAAGCCCCGGATTGAAGATGGAAGCACACGTGGACGTGACACCGAAATATTTGGCGTTTTGCTCACCGACTTGAGACTTGAAAGGGGGTTTCGGGTGTCAGCCATTATCGACACGGCGAATGTTGAGCGTGTTTCCTCGGAGTGATATAGCCGCGCGTCTAAAGTCGCATGCCGACCGAATCGATGACGCGATCCACTTGGGCGACGAAGAGAAGAAGCGAGGCCCCTCGAAAACGAGGGAGTCAGCAAATTGGCAAATTGGACCGTCGTATACGGGCCGTTGTTTGCGTGTAAACTACATGCTCTATGATATGTGCGAAACCTAATAGCTTCGGACTCTGCAAGGATGCAGTACCTGTGACACATTCATCAAAAGCAATAACCACCCGCGGAGTCAAATTCTCAAATGTACAGCGTGTTCTAATTTGACGTCGCGTTTTTCTTCGGCGATGTATGTCGAAGGACGAATCGAGAGGAATTTTCGGCATGCAAATGTAAAAATCCCGAACGCAAAAACAAACAATACTGAAAGCATAAAGTTGCCCCCTGCAGTTGTACGAATTGTTAAACAAGCCGTTGTTAAACAAGTTACAACTTCATGTTTTCTCAGTATTTCTAGAGATTGCTCCTGTATTCAGTTTTTGGCGATTCTGACTTTTCAGAACAATAGCATACTTTCGGAAAAATTGTATCTCGGTAAGTTGTCCTAGTTATAGTTTTCGGGATTGTGACTTTTCAGGACGTTGTCCCACTTTTCAAACTTCGGGATTTGGATTGGAACATTTTTAGAATTTCGGTATTTTTTTTCGGGATTATGCATATCCACTGAATTTCTTCGGTCGGTTGTTGGGACCAAGTTACGAGCGATTAAAAGTTCGTAGTCGAGAGAAGACATCCCCCCTCTCTCACGTCACCAAACCTCTTCTCTCTTGTTAGAGTTCCCGGGGATCTCTTCTCGCATCGACCTCGCTATCATCGCGATTTTTGTAGGTAGTTCACGAGATTCCCTATCGTTAGTCTCGCAAGGATATTTTCGATCAATGTTTGCTCGGAAACTCCTTCGCTTCGCGTCGGGTCCCATCACTCTGCGTTACGCGTTTCGGGACGGGGATGGCCTCTAATGTGGGAACATTATTGCGCATTTTGCCGGGAATGACTAACGCGCGAGCTTGTCGAGGATGATAAAAGACGAGCAGACGCGAAGATCAGGGAATCGTCGTCGCTGCGGCGACGTAGCGCGGTCCGATAAATAACTCCAAGTCATGTCAAAGGAAGTGGATCCAATTTAAATCGCAACGTGTCCTTTGCCCAACGGCCCAGCTAGGATCTTCCATCCCGTCGAATGGATCCGCGTTATGAATGGCTTCGCGAGATTTACATTCGGCCCTGCCTCCAAGAGACCAGCTCTGGTTATATGTTATAGCAATTTGCCTCCGTTCAGTGGGACGAACTCGAGGTGACCTCCCCTAACGACCGATTTCTAGATCCTCCAGCATGGGCGAACTAACGTGGCTCGCAAAAGCAGCAAATTCGATTGAGATTAGTGCGTCCAGCCTATATCTCCGTCATTCATTTCACTTAATGAATCATTACTTTATGTACATATAAGGACTCTTGTTGCCTGATCGCGGAACTCTTGATTGCTGACGTCAGGAGCGAAGAAATGCACGCTCAAAATTCCTGCAAAGTACGTCGAAATAAACAAGTCCACAAAAAATGACACTTGCGATCGCACACTCGGAAATAATCCAAACACTTTCCCTTTGCTCTAACAATCAATAAATAATCATGAAATTGACGTGACAAATTAACGAAATGTAGATTGAAGAAAAAGATTGTATGCCACGTTAATTTTACGCTTATTTATTGATTGTTAGAGCAAAGGGGACGTGTTTCACAGAGGTGTATTTTCAGAGGTGTGCCTAATCGTTCGCATCAGTGTCAATTTTCGGATATATCTTGCTACTTCAATGTGTACTTTGCAAGAATTTCGGGCATGCGTTTCTTCGCTCTTCTGATAACTCAAGGTAGCCGCGGCGAGAAGCCAGGATCTGTAATAACGACAATGTGATACCAATACGTTTGCTCGCAATACGCGCAATACTAGGCTGTAATAATACGACGGAATCGTCGTTTGACTGTTTCCAGTATATGTGTTACTGTTGTCGTCCTCAACGTCCACTTCCGCTCACCGCAGACGCATAAAATGGCACCCTGGGTGAAGAGAGTTTTTATACACATTCTTCCGCGGCTTTTAGTCATGAGGAGGCCGCAGTATAAATTCGAAACTAACAGGTTGGTATCGAACGCAATTCTTCGTCGATAGATTTCGTGCTCGAAGCTACAAAAACGAATTTGCAACACACGATACGAGAATCAACTTTAATCTGATGGAAAAGAAAGATTTACGGAAATGAAAATACGAGTTTGGGACGCGTTACTCGCGAGGCAATCAGCAACAAAATCACCGTCAGGGAATAGCGTAGCGCGGAGCTTGCACCGTAACAATAACGTTACACGTACTCGAGCACGAGTTTACCTCGCATTCGTGTCTAGACGACGGTCGCCCGTCGCCTTTCGGGACGTGGCACCCGCATTAAAATTCCGCACCCGATTGTCTGTGTTCGCAGGTACACTTCCGGCAGAGTGCTAATGAGGACCGTCAGGGGGAAGGAGAAGACCTGCTATTATCCTTACCACCCGTCTACCCAGGAGGACAGCGAGGAGCATCTCACATCCAAGAGATTCCACAGCCGTCCTTCGTCAAAGGAAGACCTCTCGCCTTCCAGGTGTTTATAATAATACGAAACACGTCTTAACTCCCTCATCTCCTTGTATTATGCCGCAAACGTCAGATCTATTATTAACCCTTACACAATCCGGGAAGCCACTATAGTGGCACAACAGCAATCTCGTGAAATACCACAATTCTTATTATTATTATTATTATCATTGTTGTTATTCTATACAATATTCAATACAAATTAGTAAAAAATCTTTGAAAAAATAAAAAGTTAAAAAAATGTTTAACTAAAAAATTTTTTTTAATTATTTATGTTATAGAAATTTCTTATTAGTTTAAAAATATTTTATTAGTAATTAAAAAACATTTTGAAATTTGTGCAAATAACAATAGACATTTAGTTTTATATTTTGATTCCATTTCATCATCATATATAAAGGAATTTTTTGTACGATTGAATTAAAAAAAGTCTGCAAAAGTCACCGAAAAAACGCCCGAACTGTAAAGGCTAATGACATGTTTCGCCATGAATGCATTTGCAATGATGGATTCAATATGACCCTGTTAAATCAATTGAAAAGACACTGTCTTTCGATAAATATGATAAATTGCAAAGTTGTTGAGAATGAATGCTTTAGATTGTCTCGAATTAGCACAAGTAATATTTCCTTTATGACTTTAGACAGGAGCGTTAACACACGTAACAATGACCAAAGAGTCATGTCCAACAATATTATTCGCTGTGTTCAGCCTTACAGACGGTGCGAGGTTTGGCGGTAGCTGCCTGATTCACGGTCCTCCTCTGCCGCCTCTACCGTTACACACTGAGTGCGAGGATCTCTCGGTTGCCGGGGACACAGGCATAGAAGAAGTGAAAAGCCCGGCGCTACGAAGCCCGCCCGCCTTCTCGCACTCCCGCTGCCCGCCGGAAGTGCACAGATCCTGCATTTGCGTACGTTTCATCGCCGAGCACACCAAAATGCTCGAAGATTCGACCAAGGTAAAGCTGAGCTCCTATCGCGAAACTATCCCCCGATAATATTCCACGGTATATTCAAAGGAAATAGCATATCAGAGACTGTCGAATTTATGATTCGTCTAAAGTATCAGAATGTCTCGTTGCGGTCATCACAGTCGGTAGAGAGCGGTCAGTCGAATCGATCGATGCCCTGTGCACAGGTGAAGGAGGACTGGAAGTACGTGGCGATGGTCCTGGACCGGCTGTTTCTTTGGATCTTCACCCTGGCAGTATTGGTCGGCACCGCCGGCATCATACTGCAGGCGCCCACTCTCTACGACGACCGAGTACCGATCGACAAGAAGTTCAGCGAGTTCGCGACCACGACAGCGGTGAAGTGCCCGCCCCAGTAGTCCATGCCCGAGCCCTGCACCGTAGAGAAAGACTAAGGACCAGAAGCCCGGACCCCCCGTCCTAGTCTTAGGAGAGTCCGCAAGCTCCACTTCCTTATCCTCTTCAACGACGAAATTACGGCAAAAGGGCTCCGATCTTGCAAGGAACGACCGTGTGAGAAGAGATTGACGGGCGATTGACGAGACACACATGTTCTCCCGAGAACGGAAGACAGGTCGCGGGCAGAACAAGCTTAGAGGAAGTCGGGAAGAATCGCTCCCGTCGACGCGCCACGGAGAGTCGCCTCGGTACGGCGGACGATTTTCGTAGATCGGAAACAGAAAGGCGACGGACAGGTCGTTGCGGGATCTCGGCGTGTCGACGACACGAGGCTCGCGGTTTCTTCCATGAGATCGCCTGCTCCTCCGGTGTCCTCGCGGACATATTCGCGGCGCGAGATCCCGTGCGCGAAACCTCACGTGCACCTACCATAGTCTGCTCAAGTAAATCGTAAATACGAAGCTGCCACTACTTAATCGAGTAATCTAACACATCAGGCTGACGGACGTCACGGTGTAACGTTGTATAGTAATTTTAGCGCCTCGAAGAAAAACAGAGAAAGGACGAAGAGAAACGCCAGCGGTCAATTGTTCGTCTGAACGCACGCGCGCGCGCGCGCGCGAACGAGAGTATCGTTCGCCTCCAGGTAAGACAAAACCAGGACTAATTAAACGCTGGTTAATTAATTCGAGGGTTCTTCTCTCTGTTCGCTGTTGGTGAATTAATAAACCGCGCGAGACAGAGAGAGACAGTCAGGAGACTTTCAAAAGTTAGTTAATCCAGTCCGTCGCGGGGCGGCTGTGTACTTCACGCACATTGTTTCGCACGAAGGATTAGATCGTCGTTGATGCAGCGTCGTCGGCCGGCTTTCCTCGCGCATAGAACACATTTTTTATACCGAAACGCAACATCGTCTCGACGATGGCTCGTGATTCGTCGCGACGCACCGGCAGCGATGCGAATATTTCGCGATACTGCCGCGTCGCGATTCGAACGGTGACTCGTCGATGGCCAGAGTGAAATGGCAGGTGTGCGGCGATTACGCCGCACTGCGACGCCGATTGATACGGCGCGAACGATATCTCGCTCGGACGAGACACGCGCGCGTTCCGCGAACGCACTCGCGTTTTTTGTATCGCGCGGTCGGGGAGCCGCTCGCATTACTCGAGCTAATTAGTTAAGCACCGCGTAGCTAGCTCGTCGTACACAGATCTAGGGTAATGTAACCTTACTCGAAGTATAACCAGTTGATAATTTTAGAGATGTATCCGTTTATACGAGCATATATATATATATATATATATATATAAGAGCGGCACACACACGGACGAGCCGACGGCGCGTCGGCTACGCGAAGCAGCAATCCTCCCTGAGTACTGTTTCGCAAAATCACCACACCAAACCCGATCTATTCCCTCCATCAGAGCTGTGCTTCAAGGAGCCGCGCTCCTTCGCGGATGATCCGAACGCGTTCTACCTGTCGCGCCCGATCTCGGCGCTTCCCGCGATCTTCTTCCTTTGATTTTCTCGCCGATGCGATGTAAATACCTCCATTCGTACACGCACACGTACGCGCGGCCCTTCCGTCATCGTTTCACCCTTCCCTAAGCTTTTCTCGCATCGCGAGCGGAAAGGAGGATGCGCGTCGAGAGGGCCCACGCCGCCGACGCGTCACCTCGTCCCGATGAAGAAAAAAAAATATTGTATTTTGTAACGAAGAAAACTGAAATACGCGAGATACTACAATAAAGGTAACCGATAGTACGGTAAGAACAAGTAAAGCATACGAATTCTAAAGCTGATAGTTGTAGGGAATTGAACAACCGTTGACGCTGTTGTTCAATGCCGTAGTTCGTCGTGGTCGTTGTGTGAGTCGTCATTCATGATTTCGCCTTTGTTTCTACTCTCTTTTTAGACGGTTATTACGCGTCGTGTATGATATTTGTCATTGTGGTTAAACGAATCGATAGTCGCGAATCGCGAGGCGTACGAATAGTTACACTCGCGAGAACGTGTAACCCAACGTCGGAGAATCATGGATCGCGCCGGCAGGAGCAAGGTGTCCAGATTAATGATTATTCGCGTGTTTCGCGGGGAGAAGTCTCTGAACAGATGTTCTTTTTTCGTTACACGAACCGGCGCAATAGTCTCGGCGTGTCACGCGACTTGATGATTCGAATTTTCCAATCGTATGATGAATTTATCATCTATTGGTTATTCTAAGAAGAGAGAAAATGATATGGCTGAGCAGGTAGATGCACGGAGAAGAAGGACTGGTTTTGTATTAACGTGAAGTTTGCTTCGTGACAAACGAACCGTTTTAATTGAAGGAAACTGTATTTCTAGCTATATATATATATATATATATATATATATATATATATATATATATATATATATTTCTAGCTCTTGGAACCAAGTTTGTGTCGTAAGAACCACAGAAATTCTGTATGCTTCAGCTCAAAACGCGTTAGTTCATTAAAGTCAAACTTTATGTTAATATCAAATTTTCTTTTTCAGCGACCTTTACTTAGAGCGTAACTTTATTCAGGTTAGTGTCCAGAAACAAATGTATGCGATCAGAAAGTGCTACAAGTGAGAAAAAATACTTGAGGATTCACATCTGTGGATATAAAATTTATTCACAGAAATAAACTTTATCTTCCACAAATAAAAATTTCAAAACATTTTTTCCGTGTACTAATACACTGAGAAAAAATATCTATTATATACCAAGAAAAAAGCATTTGAAAATTTATTTGCGGGATATAAGGTTTATTCGCAAAAATATTCCACAAATAAGGTTTCAAGCACTTTTTTCTCGATATATATAGAATGTTGACACACTGTCATTTTGTCGATTTGTGTACATGTTTCTCCCCGCGTAATCGATTAGAAAACAAAATAAAGAGTATCTGTTATTAATTTAAATGGGACAGTGTCAAGGCTACCGTCGCCTCGAACTGAAAAAAAAAAAAAAAAAAAAAAAAAGAGCGACCGGTCGTTCTCTCGATAGAAACGGATATCCGATGTCCTCCTGTGCTGATTTTTAAATCAGAGAGAGGAACATGAAAAACAAGCGGATTGATGGCTCGCGATTGATCGCGTGTCGATAACCCCTTTCTCGGTCGACGATCGATACTCGCGTTGATGTCCTCGATTCTCCGACGTTCTTAGGACTCCTCTTAACCGTAACCAACGCGTAATAATTTCCGCGCATTTCCCAGCAGCAGTTATAACGCAACGGTACGTTTTGGACTGTAAATATATTATTACGGCGAGGAATAACGATTCCCCATTACTACTGCCATTAAGAACGCAACGCCGGTATTTTAGAGAGCGTTTTTGCGCCGTCACCTGGACGGCCATCGATCGTTCTTCGTTCGTTCGAGAACCATTTTCGGCGTGCGATCGTTCATTACGACTCTCGCGATTGCCGATCACTCGTCGTGGCGCGCTTCCATGCGTATGAAAAGAAAAGAGAAGTGGAGTTGCCGCGCGGGTAGACGATGAGATCTCTCTCTCTCTTTCTTTCTCTCTCTCTTTCTTTTGAGAGAGAGAGACAGAAATTCGGACGGTCGTTTCTCTCTGCGAGTCGCCACGACGATCGACACTGATCGGGTCTGTTCGCGTAGCGGAACACACACAGAGATGGGCAGAGCTTCCCGATATTTCGATAATTGCGCGATCACCGCGAAATACAGGCGCGTCAGATTATTCGTCGGTTGATCCGCGTCCGATATTCTTGATGCATCTTGACATGGGGGGAGGGGGGAGAAAGAGAAGTCGCTCAGTTATGCCCATCTCCGAACGGACTACCATCACCGAAGTGAGGTCGAGGGCGAGGATACACGCTGATCGCTACCTGATTGAAAATCGTCCAGTGAACCGCCGAAACGCATTAGACTCGAGGGAGGCGAGGGCGTGCATTAGGTTTGTAGACTCGAGAGATTGCTCTCTTCCTAGCGAGAGAGCGAAACAAATCTACTCAGCACTAGGTCGTTAGGGAAAACAACGCACACGTTTTCTATGATAGAGCTACGTATTTACTTAATTGTTACGAAATAGCGCCGCCCTCGTGACAGCGGCGACACTCACTGTCACGAGGATTACGTCGACGTCGATCGCGGGATGACCTTAGGTTAGGGGTGCTGAGAGAACGAGAATGAGCGAGAGAGAGAGAGAGAGAGAGAGAGAGAGAGAAAGAGAGAGGAAGAAAGAAAGAAAGAAAGACGGGGTGTGAATGTGGGTCATGCATATTTAGATAATAGACGAGATTATGACAAGATAAGTTTAAGATGTAAATACCGTGTAAATAGCCGTGCGTAGCGTTAAGTCGAGAAGGCTATGTAACAATCGGGCCTTTTTTTACAATCTCTTCAGACACTCACATCCCTCCGAGAAATCTCACGGGGCTCTTTAATATTATCGACGTCGTATCCGTTGGTTCTTTGTAACGCAGACCGTGTACATTATATTTCAATACTCTCCGAATGATTTCGAGCCTTCATAATATCATATGTGCGGATGCGAAAAGTGCCCTGTCGATCCGAGAATGAAGCGTCGTTAGAGATTATTTTCTATCACCGGGGAGAAAGGGAGACAACGACGGGAATTGGCAACGGTAATTCGCCGTGAGCGACGTATACGCTCGCGCTGATTACCTTTAATGCATATTGAAATATGCAATTTACATATTGAAACCCTACCAATTTTGTCGTCTGTTAAATTTCCTAATCGATTTTTCACTAGTAATTAATTTGCCGACCCGCACGATATCGTTATTTCGCTCCGGTGCGCGTGACATTGTTCAGGCACGTTCAACAGTCGACAGCAATTGAAACGCGTGGTGGTGGAAAACAAAAAGGAGTCGAATCAACGCGTAACGCGCCGGATCTGAATGATATATGTCACACGTACTGGAGAGTTGACAAGGGGGATGAAAATCCTCAGGAAGGAGGCGGTAGTTTCTTCGGACAATAGGTGATTGCTCATGTACATTCGCGTGAAACCCACGCGATTTTCCAGAGCGAAGCGCCATAAGAATTGACTGGCAATACCGGTGCTTCTCGACGTAAAAATGCGCGAAATAAACTCGACCGATGCGTCGTTTCTATCGTCATTTATCGACACAAATTATTTTACACGTTCGGTAATCACCGTTGAAATTCGCAAAAAGAGAGAAAGCGGGAGAGGAAGAGAGAAAGAGAGTAACATCTAAAACGATGAATGCTTCTTTTCGACGCGTGAGCTCGTTCGTCGCGCCCGATATTAACGATTCACATGTTACCGTGTCGATATGCCGCGTGATCGCTTTAGAACATCACGCAGTGTTTGCGTAATACGATAAGGACGCGTCTGATAAAATTGAACGAATTGTATATAAAGACAATAACACGTTGAAACCTCTTCGATTGATTGGAGGGATTATTTGCGAAACAAGACGTATCTTTCGAATCAAACACTTTTCAGAGGACATCCGCGTGTACCAACAACACGCAGCCCTAAAATATATTATTATTAATTATTATTAATGTCCCGTGCAAAGAAACTCTTCGAAGATTAATATAGAACACCTTTAATAAATCGCGGTCGATGTAGTGAAACCTAACGGAGTAATCATACGACGAAATCGCGTATTAAGCTGTACTATCAGTCTCTGCTTCGTCGACAACGGATGCGCCTTGTTTAAAAGATAAGCCCTTTAAGTAGAGATCGAAAGACTAAGTACCATTTTTATAACCACGTTGTCTCAGAATAAAAAGACGTTCTCGCCGGCAACACGATATTGGACTACTCTCGTATGATCGAGACACTTCATTTGCGAACGGATGAAATTTAAAAGTGAAAGCGCCTAAACATTAACAACACTTAACTCTGCACATCCTTGTTGTTTTGGTTTTGAAATACTAATATTTAATTTAATTTTCAACGTAGACAATAGATAATAGATGTGTACAGTTTACGGGGACTAAAAGGTTGTCTGTAATTTTTCAAGTGAGTTTGCGAACTCCGCATCTTGTCCAATGAGAAAATTCGTTTTCCATTGAAAGAATGCTCTCGTTGGACAAGAAGGATAAGTTCACAAACTCACTTCACGACGACCTTTTACTCCGCGACTGATATATCTGACAATTCATGACACACCCGTTGTGTGCAGGTAGAACTCAATACAAGATTCCTTTAATATTTCGCAAACAACCACGTACAACTTAAAGTTATTAATTAAAAGAAATTGGCGAATAATTATGCGCGATACGATAGTGGTGAGCTGTGATAGTGACGTCATAGGTTTGCACATCAAGTCAAACTGAACAAAATGATACAGAACTGATTAAAATGGTAGAAGTTAAAACAATATGAATATTCAGAGTTAAATACCAGTGTTGTTAGGGTTGAGGCATTGATGGTTTAATCTTGGCGTGTTTAGCGCCAATAAAACTAGTTTTATTTGTTGAACACGATACGGAGAATGCAGGCGCGTTCGCGTGTAAAAGTGGCGCACGATTTATTAATGCGGAATAAGAAATATACACGCTGCGGTCGCATTTAGCGCCAAATGCGCAACGAGAAGCGGGGCATATTCGTGTGATTGAAAATCGCATAAAATCGGCGCGTCGTTTAGCCGTAGCTAAAAATGCCCGGCGACGAACTCAGTCGTGACACAGTCGCGAGGAGCGGAACTGGGACTTGACGTGTGTTTAGGATCCGGATTTAACAGTCACCCATTAATCTCCAAGCAGACCGAGCCCCACCCAAGACGATAAATCATCGCTTCCACCCTTAAACTTAACACGTGTTTGATAGCTTGCGAATTCCGTACTTAATGCATTTAACGAGTTAGGCTAAGGACACACGCGCGTGTAAGAACAGCGGTACAGATAGATGACTGTAAAACGATAACGATATTCTAGTGTGTTATAAAACGAGCGTGTACCACCGATACACGCATAGCAATAGAACGCTATTTAACGTGGTGACACGCGCGCGCGCGCGCGCGATCCGAGAGTTTACGGTAAATATTGGAATAATAATTACCACCGTGTTAGATACGATTATTATGTATATCGTTTGTTAAATATGTACCTATTACTAATTATACTAACGACCGTCGTTCTAAGCCTACACGAGATGTAAAGACGAGATTCTTGTTGCTTGGTTTTGTAATCATGCTTGACAAAAGCATACGGAGAAATAAAACTTGTTGTCGTAGAAAAACTGCCGTTGCAGTTGTGACGTTCGCGTCGTGGTGGATCCGCGTGCTGCAGTAATCCTCCCTTCATCGTGACACACGGTCGCGAAGAATCTCTCTCTCTCTCTCTCTCTTTCTCTTTTCCTCTCGGAGATATTCACGTCGATATCTTCGTGGCATTGTTCGCCGTCAGCCACTCTTGAATCTCCGGCAAGGATTCCTTCAGCCACTTGATCGCGAAATTAGCGTGCGCCTCGACCATCGCCATCGTGTATCCCACGGTCTTTATGGTCTCGTGATTGTCTTCGCTGAAAGTCTGGAACTGGAAAGAAACGTCAAATTGCAATCTAAGTTTGCGAAACGTTCGAGAAGATTTGTGTCCTTCGCGCCATCGACCTCGTTAAATGCACGATCCCATAAAAAGGGCAAGTATATCGAGGAACTTTTTCATCGCGTGAAAACGGAATCTCCGTCAAATTATCTGTCGTTTTATTACGTTTTATTAGCGATTACGCGATCGCGACCGCAAGTTCATTACTGTGAGCAGTACATAAGTCGCACTTACGTCGTCCAAGTCTTCCTCAGCGGTCAAACCGTTCATCGTCGCCATCGCGAAGGCTTTCACGATCGGACGGGATCTCGCGAATCTAAACCACAGAGAGGAAGAGAGAGAGAGACACGGTAGTATAGTACGTCATAATCTACTTACAACTTTGGTTGCAAAGAGCTGAGGAAGTTGCATAGTACCTCGTGACGATAACCTGCCAATTATTTCGCACGAACTTGTAGGCGATTTGCGCAGCGACCGGATTCTGCGGGAAACTTCTTAAGATCCTCTGCGTCTCGTCCTCGTTGTACATTTTACCTTCGAGGAGCTCGCTGAGTAACCTGACATGCATTAACATGCATTGTACATGTGCTACTTTGATGAAGCCGTGTGCTTGAATTGGAACTATATTCTTTAGGTTTTATTGATTTCCTTTGGCTAATATTGATATTTGCAACTTGGCCGTGCTTTTCTCCAACGAACGTCTCTAATGAAATTCGGCTGGCATAATCCCGAAATGTTAGTACCGAAATGGGACAACGTCCCGAGAAATCATAATCCCGAAAACTGAACACAGAAAGACATTCCCCCGAAATATCGAAAGCATGAAGCTGCCAATAGCTCGTCATATAACTTGCGAGATAACATTTTATAAGATTGTCTCTGTTTTTGTGACTTTTCGGAACGTTGTTGCACTTGTCAAAATTTCGGGATTTTTCGGGATTATGCATGTCCACCGAAATTCGCGACTCATGTCTTCCCGATATTAACTCTCAATTCGTACTTACGACTGCAAGATCCACGGCGTCTGGAAGCACGCGAACGCCGACAAAAGCCGATTCTTCTCCTCTATATCCGCCGTGGAGTTTGCCCTCTCAACGAAGTAATTCCACTCGTTTCGCGTGCCGTATCGCGCGATGGTGCAGTATAGAACCTCGCGTGCGTACGCCGGTACGCTGAAACGATCAAAGTTTTATCTCCGAAACGAGCCGCGAAATCGAGCCGATATCGTTGAAGCGCTAAATTATTCCGATTATGTCCCATGCTACAAAACTCTTTCTCTACTTCGTTCATTGATATTACTGATATCTGTACGCCTTCTAGCGTAAAGATAAGCCGGTAACGCGCCAATCGCCTAGATGTTTCAGCCGAAGCATCTCGAAACATTAGACTGGCGCGTGCTTCTTGATATTGCGAGAACAGAAAAACAACAGACAAGATAAAAATATCCATTTCTGATTAGTAATAACACCGACACCTAATTCTTTCTTATTGTTGGGCATTCTTGTTGCTTTGATCTTTTTGGTCTTAGAGCCATATTAACAGTTATCACATGAAACTTGTCTCATGTGATGTGCTCAGATTTTTATTCAAGGAAAGATCCTACCTGTAAAATAATCGGAACACTTAAATGATCAATAAATAACTGTGAAAATTAACGTGACAAGATCATGAGGAAAAATAGATTAAAAGGGTAGGTTACATGTCAATACAAAAAAACAATAACGTTAATAACAATAACGAGCAAAACAATAAGAATGTCTAGTATTAGGTACCAATATTATTAGAGTCCAGGTAATTGATACTTTTAGCTTATTTTCTTCGCGCATTCTGAATTTTATGTTGCAACAATATTCACGCAGACATCGATAAAAACGCAGCCTCCAGTCACAGATTGATGGGATTGTTTGAGAGCGGGTGGCGTGCGCTGTATGCGTAACCGCGGGTGAACCGGCCGGAATTCCATCAGTCGGAGTTAACAGAACTTTCGAATGAAAACAACGAAAATATCGTTAAAAGTCACCATGAACTGAATCACGCCATCCGTCAGTTACGATACACCGAGATATGCGTTGCGCAAGTATCGAAATCAAATGCTTTTCGTCGAACTTACACCTCGTCCGCGTCGGTGTGGTCCTTCAGTGTGGCGAAATGACTCCTGGACCACTCGAGGCATTCCGCATTCTCGAACGCGCACGCTATCGTAACGGCGGTCAAAGTTAATCGTGATCCCTCGTCGATTTTCCATCCCACGTCGGAGTACAGTTGCGAGGTGAATCTCAATGTAAATTCCTGCGTGCGTTTCGTCAATTGAATCGCTTATTCGGACGAGAATCTAGTCGAACTATCACTTCCCTACAAGTCTCCTCGATCTCTCCGCGCGCACATTTTCCTCTTGCTCACATAATATCGCACAATTAATGTATCTTTATAACGTTAGTTTCTCTCCCCTCGGAGAGCGCTCTACTCTACCTGAAAGTCGCTGAAACCCGACGTCTCGTAGAGAAGACCATTTAACTTCAACAGATGACGCATCAGGACACCCCAAGGAGCGTAATGCCGTTCTCTCATTTGCATATATTTAATGAAGTCGAAGGCGGTCGCATATTTCGTCAGGCCGATCGCAGCGAGACCGAGAACGTCGTCGACGAGCGACGCTCTGGTTTCCGCCGGCAGGATCTCGTGATTCTCCTCGAGAGTCTGCGCCAGGAGTCTCCAATTTTCCTCGTCGTAATGCACACGATAATAACCTTGAAGGCAATTAATAACGATAGAACATGCGCTCACGTCTCTCGGTTTCCCTTTAAATTGGAGGAAATTGAGAAATCGATACGTGTCGTTCTACGAGCGTAGAACGGTCATACAAGTGAAAACGATTCATCGGGGACTGGCTCGGATATAATGAGAGTAAATCACGTTATTCCTCTGCATCGAACGATGGACATTAAAACGCGAACGGCAATGTATATAGTCTATATAGTCTACAAACGTCCACAAACCGTCCACGGACCTGTTTTATTCACGTTGAACACGACCCAAGAATCCCTAGCAGCGACATTATGCAACACCATTTTCTCTTCGGGATACAACCACGTTTTTGTCGGAGATGACCAATCAGCGCTCGTTTTGTTAATGTAGTCGAGCGGCACGTACCACGTCGGTTGAGCGTCGGTTGACGATGACTGATCGTACGTAAATCTTTCCTGCGTCGATGGTGAATGATAATAAATAAATAAATTCTGCTCAAATTGATGCCAAAAACGCGCATTTTCCCCAAGTGAAACAGAAAATTACGTCAAAATGACGGGAAAATGATCGAATCACGATTGAATAGTCTTCAATTATTTTCTTATTATTTCATCGTGAATTTTTCTTCTGCTCGAGTTAATAATTCATCTACTCCGTTTGAAATATTTAAATATCCGTATTTGAAAAGCAAAGTAATAAGAACGTTTAAAGTACCAGCGCAATTAGAACCCAAGCACATCGGTACCTTTTTTTAACTTTATAATACTTTTAAGAGACGAATGAGGCTGCTAACGCGTATTTCATTCAATATATCATCAATCATGGTTTGTATCGCACCTGTCGAATATCAGCAGTGCCATTTTCGTAATTTCTCACGATCCGAACGATCGGGTAGCCGCGATGCGAGATCCAGAAATCCAACACTTCGGATAGAGCAATTTCCGCCGGTAGGCCGACGGTCTCTTCCGCCATCGCTTCCCAAAAGTCATCGACGCTCGCTGTCGAATAGTTCCTAAAAGAGGCAATTTTTCTCAAAAAAAAAAAAAAATATATATATATATATATATATATATATATATATATGTATATATATATACATATATATAATTTGAAAGATGCATCGAACAAGTAAGATCTCGTGATTGCAGGACCGATTTTCATCGTGAAAAATTGCCTCCTCCGCAAACGTTGAGAAATCTATAGCGGAGAGAAGGTCTATCATTACCGACGCACCATCTCTGTATATTGTGGAACAATATACAGAGATGATAAAATAACGTGTATTCTGAACGTTGACATTGCCATTCAACGACGTAATAATATATCGACGTTAGACACCGCGCGTTCTTACGTAACGAGCCCGATAAAGAAGCATGAGGAATAATGGCCGACAGCTCGTGACATTCAACCGCTGCATTACCATAAAGTCGACGGGATAACTCGCTGTAAAACGCGACGATTACCGTTTCAACGACCGGATCACGCGGTCGTGCGGAGTCGTGCGGAGTCGCGACGAGCGGGTGATTTAGACGCCGGATGACGATTAAAGAACGATCGAACAGCCTGTCGCGCAGGATAAAAGGACGATAATGTAATATACCCACCACCTCGCTATGAATTTCCGGTAGCCGTTCCTAAAGGCGGTATCGTTTATCACGCCATGCAACATGCGAATCAAGCATGCACCTACAAGAAGCAGTCAGAATGCAGAATCACATTATGCGGCGGTTAAACGCGCGACACATATTCGATATGCTGCCATTTGAATTGAGCTGACACTTTGCCCTGTCAATTTTTCGTACCTTCTTGCATGTTCAGAGACGGAGCTCAAAATTTCATTTTATTCGGCGTTCATTGAACGGCGGCAAAAAATTTAATATGAGACTTGAAGCGAGAAGTGCCGTGCTCTCTCTCGACTTTATTCTTACGTTGAAAAACGTGAGTAGAGGACAACGTAAATCTTGGAAAACGAGGACTTTACTTTGAAATCTTGACTTGTAAATCTGGAATCTGAAGAGAGTCTTGACTTATATAAATCTTGAATTTGAAAGCTCGTAAAAACTTTACTTGTAACATCTCAATAATAATTTGAATTTGAAATCTTGATTCGTAAAGACCTTTCACTTGCAAATCTTGTTATATCTGAATAACAACATTCAAGTGTTCAGTCGAGCAATTGCAAAAAGCATGTTAATTTGAAAATTTTTCGAATAGTCGCAGCTCTATTTCCAACATTTAGCTAGTATCTCGATGGTTAAACGTGTCAGGTAATCTCAGAGAAATAGGAAGTAAAATACTTTATCGAAATTTCTAAGTGCCATAAGGATCGTTACACGAAGAAGGATCGATCGATCTGATCGACGATCGTTACCTTTCTTATGCCGGGCGTTATCATCCGAAAAATCCAGATGAGCAGGATTGATGTTCGATCGCAGCGGCTTTGAAACGCTGTAACCATCCTCTTCCATGGCATCCCATTGCATGTCCGCGATGAACGCGTGACTGGAGTCCAGTGACGGGTCTATCTGAAAATAAAATCTCATGAAAACTTTGCTTCGCCTCGACGATGAAAGATCGTCTCTGACTAGACTAGTGTCAGTGTGAGCGAGTCGACTATTTTGAAAAAGTAACATGCATCACAGACACATATTGAAATTCAATTATTTAACAAGATAAAGAATATCAAGTCAAGGAAAAAAATAGAATTTTTCTTTATAAGTATAAGTATAATGAAAACGTTGAAATTCTGCAATTTAAATTCATGCACATTTGTCGTGATATCATCTTTTGAAAATACACGACTCGACATTTTAATCTTGGAAGTACACACGGAAAAATTCAATTGCCAACAATAAGAGAGGTAATTAAATGGTAAAATAAGTCTTCTCTATTTTTTTTCTGATAAATCTAGCGTCATGCACAATTCAGCGGAATACTGAGGTTTGTTGGACTGATCGTGTACTTTCATGATTACAATAGATGTCGCGAATACTGTTCCGATTATGTGCCTTCTCGATCATGGTATGTCGCAAGTGGAGTGTGGAGCCTTCCAGCAGCCAAACGTCCGTCCAGTTCTTCGTGTTCACCACACCGCCCAGCCATTGTTCTCCTATCAGGCTTATCAGAGCACTTAACGCGTCCGTCTTCGTGACCATGGGAGATCGATCCGCGACGTAGAAGAGCGATTGCCTTGAGGACAATTTATCACGAAATGTAACGTAACGTTCAATTTAACAAAACGATACAATTAATTAGACTAGTGATACAATAGGAAGAATTAATTGTTAGATTCTTTTCTATATTAACGACTTTAAATTTTTTAGGAATTTGGTCCATTTTGAGACAATACATCAAAACAATATCTACTGTTTGATGAAGAAATATGACTCTCACCTCATCGATATCAGTCCTAGATTTCCGGCGTTGTCGGCGATCCGTGATGGTAATGCGACGATATCCAACTTCGGTAACGGATAAGGCATCGAGAATACATCGTGCAGATGTCCGACGACGTAGTGGAGTTTGTCGATGAGGTATGTCCCTCGCGAACGTCTCTTCGAGTCTCCCCAGAAAGTTACCGTCGCGTTCTCGGGCTCCGCTTTCGTTTCGCCCAATATCTCAATCTCGCCCATCACGAAGGCCAGATTGTAAGGTGACAGTAACGGAGTCTCCTCGAAAGTGTCAATCACCCAATCGTCGGATCTTGAAGGGAAGAAGTCGTCAACTGAGATCGTTTGTTCAATGTGAATGTCGCGGACATGGCAGGAAAGGAAAAAACACGAAGAAGCACAGAGGAGTTTTGTCACGATGAGAGAACAGACAACGCGCTATTTTTTTAGGAGTTTATTCACCAAGTACTTATTTTCAGGGCAATTTTGAAAGAACATATTCACAACGTCAATGGAACTGCTCATAAATTCGCTATTTATCAAACAAAATTACGTTTTCATATATTTACTATCTAAGTAATAAATATTAATTTGAAACTAATTTGAAACTAATTTCATACCTTCACTACCTTCCCACGTCTCGCTCAGTAGAATGCTACTCAAAACCAGTTTTGCAGTCTACAACTGGCCATTGCACAAAAGCGATATAATGAATGCTATTATTTTTTCTATGCCGCGTAACAATTACGTAACAATTACAACGGTAAGTTTCTCTCATTAGGATTACAACGGCTAGAACGACTCATTAGAATTACAATGGTGGTGGAAGTTTTTCTCATTAGAATTTGGTATCACTTTTTACAAAGTTGCACTGGAATGATGGTCATCTATATTATTTTTTTCCATAAGGTTATAATTGAGCAAAATTACGATATTCAGTATTAAGTTTCTCACAAACGGTGCGTAAAACTTCAACTACAAATGTGTTTCATTGCGATAAATGTTGCATGAAATTTTTGTATAATTTTAACCATTTTGATTGAAGTGAAAACTTCTTGAGCAGACATAGCTGTAGAGCGTATAAACGTTTCGTTATGGTCGTGTAATTAACAGTGTGAATTACTCACGTATCTCGGGAGGTCCTGAGTGGCATGTTTGAGAGAGCCTTCGCATCTCGCGGACGTGCCACGGATATTGAGAATATAGCTTTGAGGTTCACGTCGTCGAAAATTGGCAGAAGATGCGAAGCACCCACAGGTTTCAACTGCACCCCGGTTAACGATCTATGTAAAAAGATAGATTAATTAAAGGGATTCAGAATGCAGGCAGCGTGGAACATAAGTACTCGCTACGGGGAGTGAATGATATTTGATCGGTCCTTGAATTAATCTTCTCTCGGGGAGAAAAGCGATTTCTGGCTTCCATGTGTTACAGGCCTCTCTTTAAATTTTCTTCAAACTACAAAATCGATGAGACAAACAATCTCCATCCCCGGCATGAGCGAACACGTGTATTGCTCTATTATCGTCCCGTGGCTGCTTTAACGTATCGCTCAAGTGGATATACTGCCAGAAAGATTGATGCAACGTCCATGCCTCTTCTTGATTTCCATTTTCTTTATTCTTTTTTCTTTTTCCTTCTTCGACACTCGTCTGCACGGAGCCATAGTCGCACCTGCGATATCTTTACCGAGTCTGTCGATACAATAGAACTACATTCACACATCAAAACAAGATGATAAGATAATCTTTCATCGGCATTCTGCACGTGACAAATAGGAGCAAGTAGGTCATCTGCGCCACATGTGTCTCACACTAGCAAAAACATATATATACACGCTAAATTGTATAAATACAATACATCATAATGCTGCAATCAAGAATATACAATATCAGGAAAAAGAAATGTGTAATCCTTAAAATGAATGAAAAACTTCTGCATTTTGAAATAAAATTTCGCAGGGACGCTGCAATATCGTTCTCTCGCGCTCGGCTGAGGCCGTATCTCTTAACTGGCAATTAGCTAATTGATCCCTCGCCGCTACGATCATCGTGGTAAAATCTGCTTATACTCACTTTTCCTCGCCGGGCTTGCCGAAGCTTGCCGAGTAAATCGTCTTGCCGTCAGGCAGAATCTCGTAATCGATCTCCAAGATGTATCTCCCCGGGCTCATGGCGACGGCCGGATGTATCACGTGTAATCCGTTATTAGCATCTACCTCGTAGCGCTGGATTTCCACCTCGATCGCGCTTCCGTTGCCGGAAATCACCGTATTAGACGGCGGCCCAGACGTCGTCGCGTTCGCCGACTCCGCGATCCCGTCGGACAAGGACGAGGTCTCGTCCCGCGAAGTGGTTTCATTGCCGGAGGACGTTATGTCTCCCAGAGGATGGCTTGTGACGTCCTCCTGCGTGCTTTCCTGATGTCCCGGGGACGACGTCACGGTGCGATTTAATGTGGTAGCGTTGCCTACGTTAACAGATCGTTACTCGCGTCAAGCAGACGATTATGTAATTTTTCTCCAAGCACCCAAATATCACAGGAATATTCTACGGAAATCCCATAAATATTCTTCACAAATATTTGCATACTTTACTTGTCTACTACTTGTATATTAATGTACCAAAAACGCTGTTCACAATACGTTCGCAGTATATTCAAATGATACAACTATACATATTCTACAAATATGCATAGGATATTTAAGTAAACTAATCATTGATTTTGTGCTTTTATAATTATAGAAGAATAATTTGAATATTTTATCGCGTTGACACGTGTCATTGCTAAGCTATAATAAGTACATGTTTGGCACATGCGTGGTAAATAAACCTTACGGCTATTCTAACAAAATATTCTTTTTCTGTTATAAATATATATTTTCTACTATAAATATATGAATCTTTGCTAATGTAATATTGTATTGCTAATGTAATATTGTATATACATTCATCGAATATCATAAATTCGAATATTCTGGAATTGAGAATTAGCATTCATAGAACATTTTGTGCTATCTGGCAAAGTCATCATGATTGAGTTGTATGATTCTTTTGAGATAACAGAAGAATTGAATCCCGTCGTCGTGTTTGATTAAAATGGTAAAGAAAAGAGATCTCTTTTTTTCCAATCTGGAAATCTGTCGCAAAAGTCACGCTCGGTTGATCGCGCTGATCGCTGTTATGCCAAATATCGAGAGTTAATTATCGTCTTATCGCGTGTATTTAATCGTCGAACACCTGTTTCCTTGTTAACGTATGTTCGCCGTTGCGTATCGCCGGCCGAAACATATGAGAAGTAAACGAAGCGATCTCGAGCTAATTAACGCGTCACTTGTCGCGAAGAAATCGAAGGAATAATCCTTTCAGTGAGGGATACACGCGCCGCGTATTGAATCATTTAGATACCAGCGTTATCGTCGTCCTCGTCGCGTCTCCTGCGTCTCCTCTTGGCCGGCACGTTGCTCTCCTCCACGAACAACAGTTTGTAACGCGTAGTCGTGACATTCCATGCATTGAAGGATAATTTGCTCAAGGATGGCGTGCCGTCGACTCGGAATTCGACGACGACTCGCCCTTTGAACTTGTACGTCGAGTTCACGTCGCTCAGCGGCGTTAGTTCGAGCCGATATCTCAGAGGATAAACGAAGGGCGATATCGAGGCTACGATGATGTCGGCCTCCTCCGTCTCGTCCTCGATGAGGGCTAAGGGATCGTATGTCTAATTAACAGAGAAGTACTCGTTAGTGTCTGAGAGGAAGCGGACTTTGCGCTCGGTAGTTTCGCACGCATCGGGATCACGAAAATGCAAAGTAACTCCTCAGAATCTATCGAACTTTTGGAGTACTGATCCGCGTAACTATCTCCTTGAATTTGTGCCGCGTCTCGCATGCCGCAGTTTAACATTTTTCGCACTCAAAGGCGTTACAACAGGCGTTTAACCGGCTGCTTACTCTGGTCTTCGGCATCGTGCCGATATTCCAGCCGATCAGACCGGCAACGATCACGGTGACCACGACCAGGACGATGAAGGAAAGGACTTTCTTGTACGTGAAGAACCAGCCGCCTTTCCGATGATGGACGATCTCCTCGCTGGGCGGCGACAGCGCGGTGTTACCGGAATACGTCTGCATCATGCAGTCGGCTGAAAGTATTAAACGCTCGATGAAAGGACCCGCGCATTTACGGCCGCATTAAACGTCGGGGTGCCCGTGGTGCTGCTTTTTATAAGCCGTAACACTTCCGAACTGATCATCGACCGATGGCATCCGGCTACTTGGCGCGTTGTAAATCCTACGGGCCGTCAAAGCGACAGAACCTCCCTCCGATCGAGTTCTCCTCTCGAATAAAAGAAAAGTCGTGATCGAGAGAAACATTTTAACTGGATTCTTGCTGTCTTATCACGATTGAGAAATAGCGACTGGGAGAAGAACGAGTCACCGCTGCATGTCGCATTGTGTCTCGCGCGTCTCGGTAGACGTCATTATCGTCGCGTGCGCGACGAATTTCGCTTTGGCGAGCGCCAGGAGCTCGGAATGCGCGCGGATGACATCATCGAGATTGGTTCCCCGTGATGCAGGAGTCCACGATAGGCCCACGCTCGTAAACGCTCGTCGAGAGACGGTCGTTTCAAGGACCTGCTGCTCGTGCACCTCGCTGACCACGTATCGACTCCAGCATTCGCATAATCACCGCCGCGCCGTCGGTGCCGATAACGCTCGTATCGGCGGCCGCAGGTCGCGCTGCATTATATTATTTCACGGCGCACACGACGTTGATTCTACTGGCTCGACTTGTAACTTGTCGGATAACGAAAACGCGCCCGATGGAGCTACTCTCACCGACACATTAGTCACAACGCGTAACGCTGCTGCACATGTACATCTAATAACGCACATTACATAAAGTTCGCTGCATTGTCTCTGAAAAATAATATACTGTACCATTTTTCCCGTACTGCGAAGTTTCAATGTACAGACAATGAGAGCGGAGTGAATTTTCGCGAGAAATTGACGCTCGACTTGAGGAAAATTCGTTAAATGTCGTTTGCGACGTTCGCAGTTATGATCGAGCTCGGAAAATGTTGCGCGAAGATAATATTTGTTTCCTTTTCGTATAAATTCTTGTCAATTTTATTATGTTATGTTTATTGTCGCGGGAATAGACTGTCACAGTGAAGTCCGTCCCGCTAAGGGACATAATAAATTTCGCTGAAAACACAGTAAATCTCGTGAATCAGGGAACGTAGGCGAAATTTTTAATAACACATTTCAGTTCCTGAAATAAAATAGCGCAGTTGAATTGGGTTACTACGAAGTATCTATCTATTCTTGGGTCACAAAATTCAATAGTAACTTTTACTATAAAATTCTCTTTCCATGCAACATTTCGAAAATTGCATTGTGTACTTTATTAGTTAGATTGAAGATTGCACGAAACGGATAAAGTGCATCAGAAGATGCCGCGTCGAGTTTTCGTTGGCAACATGTGACATTGGGAATTGTAACTGTTTTTCCTCGTTAACCGATGGTATTCTTACATTCTAGTTCGTTCGCTCACGAAGCTATTGTTTCACCTCATGTGGCGATTTTTACGACGACGCGACGGCCACGTGAAATCACGTTCTCTGTTACACCTTGCGAGCGTGACTATCATCTAATGAACGAACTTCAATACCTGGCAGCTATTTTCAAGAGAGCAAAACGCACTGGGGAAGGCTTCGGTCCATTTTACCGTCACTAAACGCTAAACCAATTATAAGCTTCACCATATTCGTCCCACGTTAGATAAAACTCATTTTCCGTTCGTCAAGTCAAAGAAAACTTGCTCAAATCCTTATTCCGACTCTAATTTTCAGCGATCGTTTCACGACGCCGCTTGGACGCGCGTGCACACGCATGTCTGGAGAAATCGCACTCGAAACAGTTCTCCGTTACAATGATACGGTGCACAGGGCATAAAGTCATCTGTATATCGATTAAGGCGTTAAAACTATTTGTATAACGATAAGACGCTCGACGTAACGTGTAATTACCACCAACTGCGTGGTAATAATAACTAGCGGAAACTATTAACACACTACGCGCATGAACTCCTGATAAGAACAATTAACTCCAAACAGAAACTCTTAACTCGTAGCGGAAGCGAATTCTTGAAGATACAATATTTGAACGTGGCCTTCTCTCCGAGGGCGAAATTGATCGATCTTTTCGATATTCTTTTGCAGACGCCAAACATCAAAAGTGATTTCGAGTTAGTTAGACGAAATTGCCGACTGAGAGGAAGCTATCGTTCGGAAGAATATTTTCATTTCAAGACGGCGAAAAGTTTGACGCGCTTTGATATGACGAGCGGAAACAGCTGTTATCACTTACAGTTTCTCTGTCCATAGGACTGCCAACTGCTGACGGACCCTCGGCGCATCGTGAGGCGAGCTTGAAACGGTGATACGAAGTTACCTCTCGAAGGAACAACGACGAAGAGGCGCGCGCGCGCGCGCGCGCGAAAAGAGCAAGGGCGGCTTTCGGACTCGAGCACGCTCTTTTGACGCAAAATTCGCGACTGCGGCGCGACGGCGCGCAGGTGACGCAGGTACAACTGCAATTAGCCGTTCCACCTGCGGCACGGTGTGTGGATGTTGGCGGAGAAGCACTCGCGAGTGCCTCGCCCCCACTTTGCTCCCTTCGTTCGTTTGTTCGCTCGTCAGCTCCGCGTGTCGTTCTCCGCGTCGTTCCTACGCTCCTATGCCGTGTAATTCGTAATTAAGCCCGCTATCGCGGTGTGCGCTATCGCTGTCTGCGCGCTTTCCGCGCAAGTACAGCCTTCTCTCCTTCCTCTGGGTTGCGACACGTGAATCGAGATATCGTTTCGCGATATCACCACCTACAGAGAGCGAGACCGATGCGACGATCCCTCTGTTAGGTCTTCGCTGAGCGAAACTGCCTCGATCAAGAATAAGGTAAACGGCTGAAGAGCGAATCGAGAGTCGTGCACGCGCAGGAAGAAGCTATCCCTTTCCCCCGGAATTCCTATGACTTTGTAATTTTTCCTTGAAATCCGCTGGAAACGTGTCGGTCTAGATGTAATCGCCGGTCGTCGTGACCTAGTTATCACGCGAGGAGCCCGTGAGAAAAGCGAACGCGAACAAAACACCTCATCAAGTCCAATTGACGGCGACACGGCGCGACTCGCAGAGTGCAAGTGCAAACGTTGGGCTTGGTCCGGGATCCGTACCAGGAGCCGATGCCGTCGATCAGCGGCACGTGTCGACGTAGAGGAGGAGGACGACGTATTAGCCGCGAGCGCGCTAAGAGCCTAAAGGGGAGCACAATGGCGCCAAGGTCCTGACACCGGCTGGTGGCCGGTCCACTGAGACGCACTTGGGCGCTCTTTGTTCCCCCATTGATCGACATCGCCGATCGCAGATTGGCCGTTGACGTCGTCTCTTCTCTCCTCCGGATATACTCGTCGCGATTAGGTTCCCCTTCAAACGGCGACGCGGCCGCGATCGCCAGATTGGATAATGGATGAATCCATTCGCCGATTTGTAATACCGCGTGTCAACCCTAAGTGGGCCTGAATTCAACGAGCGAGCGAGCGAGAGGGCCTACGTCACAGTCACGCACCTACGCTTTTCCGCACGTTTCCTTCTCGCTTTTCGGCGGTCGGGAACACGGCGACGAGGAAGCATCAGTTCGTGCGCGGCCACGCTACCACACAGTCGTTCCAGAGACACTCGGACTCCTCCGAGGAGAAAGCGAGGAAGCGAGGACAAAAGTGGTCTCTTGAGAAAAGGGTATCAAGGTCAAGCGACGTGCGGTGATAAGGTGACGTCCGAACCACCGTCGCCCTCCGCAGATCGTCCTCTGTTCTCCTCGGGCGTGCACGCCCGCTTCGAGGATCACGTCGTAAGCACTCGGGCCCGACCAGACTTCCCACGTTCGCCGTCCTGCGCGAAGTAAATCCTTCCTGCGGAGCATCAGAATCGCGATACACTCGTGGAGTCGGGATCTGATACGATTTCTATTAAGGTTGTCGCGGTTGAAAGGAAAAATCTTCCACTTGCTCTTTCAAGGAGGAACCAGGGAAAAATTGTCGTTGTTTTTTCTCATTTCCCTAAAGCTTCTCGAAAGAGATATCGCCCGAACTAATCCCTTAATCTACCGATCTGATCTTTTGGGTTTTTAAGAACTGATTTACATTATTGTTCTCTCAGAGATCCAAAACTCATTCTACTGAGATTTCGATGAAATAAACAATTTTAACTTGAAATCTAATATTTATATCTTATTCTCGCGCGCGTTCGCGAACGTTCAGCGAGTGCTCGTTTACATAAACGCTACAGATATCGACTGCAACGCAGGTTCACCCCGACACGATTCACCATGACATGGGCACCGTTGCTGGCGGGACTCGTTCTGTTGTCGGCGATACCGTCCGGCCAACCACGAAGCATCAAAGTATGACGTCGACTAATTAGAAACTAACGTATAAGTAACATAGTTATTCGGAATGAAAAGGAAGAAACCTAACTATGCTCGTGCGCTCGCAGGACCAAACGCGCTGGAAGCGCAGTATCGATCTAAATGATGTCTACTACACGAAGATGCGCCAGTATAGATTGAGAAACGAAGTCACGCCGACCAATTACTCACTGGACATCGAACTCGTCGACGAGGCCAAGTTCCGTGGCCGCGTCAAAATCAACCTCACCTGGTCCGACACCAGCGACAGGATAATCCTGAACATCCATCCGGATCTTGAAATCTCAAATACCACCACGAGACTGATTCAGTTGTCGCCCGAACTAACGTAAGCGAATGAAACACTTGGCAAGACTAACGTGAAAGCCTAATGTTGCAAATTCGCGTCTTTCGTTGTGAAAACTTTTCTCCGTTCGCTCGTCACGACGAGTCTCGAGATTCTAACGGGAACCTCTTCGTCTTTTCTTGCATATTGGCTGCGAAGGAGGCTGAACGTGCCGCCGAACGTCAATGTCGCGAGAATAGAACGGCAGCAACGGAAGTCCTGGTACATTATCCATCTGGAGCAAATGCTAAAGAAGGACTCCATCTGCGAAGTTGTGATCGAATACACCGGCAATATCACCAGTAACGAAACCGCCGGTCTCTACAAAAGCGCGTACATGGATTCCGATGGACGAAAGCAGTAAGAGTACCGACGATCCTTTTCTTAACGAGATTTCAGACAGATCAAACAGTCGCTGTGATATATATATATATTAATACTTCCTTAAATCGCTCGTTCTAGATCTTCCAAGTCTCTTTTGTAAGTCAATGAATTGAATATCGGACTTGATATCAAGTAAAACTCGAGACAGTCCGGAAGTCCGTCGTTTCTAATTCTGAACTTGGTTCGGAGACAGTAATGCAACGAGACGCCCTTATCCCTTTTGTTTCAGTACTTTCTTCGCTACTCACCTTCAATTAGACAACGCACAAAGGTTGTTCCCCTGCATGGACGAGCCGCCCTACAAAGCGACGTTCAAATTGAGTGTGGCGCGCCCCAAGAACTTGAAGACGCTCGCGAACATGCCGATAGAGTCTACCGAGAGGTATGTACAAGATTTCCCAGATAACACAATCTACTAAAAGGTGCCTTAAAGACATCCTATTTCTTTTACATGTCTTTTGAGCTTCTTCAAGAACTTTTAATAAATTTTTAGTAATTTGTGTTGTCCGAATTAAAATTGAATCCTCCATCTTCCTTCAAAATATCACACATCACGATCCTCCACTTGTCACCGGACGCGAAGATATGTCCATTCGATTCCGATGGTCTTCCTTCTCTCTTTCTCTCTCTCTCTCTCTCTCTCTCTGCGGATGTTACTTTTACACTTTGATATATTTCCCCGGAAGTTACTCCAACGGCCAGGTCCGAGACTTTTTCGAGGTGACGCCGCGGATGTCGACGAATCAGTTGGCTTTCGTGATATCGGACCTGGAGTATATCGAGCCCAAGATAGAGATCAACGAAATGGACGGACGGAAACTCCGTGTGAAGGTTTGGGGCCGTAAGGAATTCATGGAGTCGTTGGTCGACGTTCCCGACAAAGTCGCGACGATCGTTAATTACCTGCAGAACTACTTCAACAGCTCGCTCGGTTTGCCAAAATTGGACGTGATGGCGATACCTATGTACAGCGTTTCCAAAGCCTCCGATAATTGGGGTCTCATGTTCATCAAGTACGTGTACATGAACGGTACAAATAAGCCTTTCGTAGCATTTTTATCACGCGATACGTATATATCATACGTATATATACGAAGTAAACATTTCCCCTTTCAGGGAGAGCGAACTCAGAAGCCCACTTATGTGGACCACAGCTTACGAAATTCTCTATCAATGGATCGGCCAATCCGTCACGCCGTACCGTCGAAATGACGCACCGGTCATCAACAAAGCTCTCAATTCGTTCCTGGCGTCCATGACGACGATCGATGTAAGATAAAGTTTGCGCTGCTTAATTGGCTCATTTAATTCCTCATCGCAACAAGATAGAGCTATTTTTTTTTATCACGATTCTGGGAAGATTCTGTTTCGCACGTTTATATTACACTGAGAAAAATAATTTGAAAATTGATTCGTTAATTTCCAAAATTTATCTCTGTGTAAAATCAAAATTTATTTCTATGAACAAAGTTTATATTCCACAAAGAAATTTTCAAGTATTCTTTTTCTCAATGCGTTACACAAAAATCTATCGTATGAAAATACTATTTTTGTATAATATATACAAACAGTAAGAAGATGATTAGATGATTTCACTACTTTTATATGATGTAAGATCGTAGAATTTCAAATTCAAAAGTAAATGTCGAACACACTGCAGCTTAATCCGGACGAGATGGAAGGAAAGTGGCCGATGACGATGTTATATCCTTTGTATTACGAATTCGCGCAAACCGTGCCTTTCTCCAGAGTGGCCGGCATTAGGCAAGAAGCGACGTGGACGAAAGGTAATCGAGACGAATACGCGTGAGTAATTACAAGCTCGATCCTCACGAGTGTGCAACTCGAGAAGGAAAGTTCTCTCGGTCTCGAACAATTATAGGAATTATGGGAATCTGCAAAATCTATCATTTGTACTTTTACATCCTTTTTACAGTCGAGTTGGTTTTCCGAACATTCAATTATACACTGGGTCGCGACCTTTTCCAGAGGAGCGTGAGGAAGTTCTTCCATCAACAATCGAAAGAGTAGTAATTGCCTTCGTCAAGCGAGCCGGGAAGCAGATTTTAAAGCTCGAAACCACTTAGCATATCGACGTAGTAAATTGTCTCTGTAGTAAAGTCAACTGTAGACAAAAATTTTCCAATTATTTGAACTTGACAAATGGATACAAAAGCGCGATAAAAGAAAGATAAAATCGCTGGCACACACAATATATATGCACACTTACGCGTAAAAATAATTTCATTTTGTGTAACTGAATGAGAACCAGACGAAAAACTCGCTGGCGAGAAACAATACCTCTGTTACTGCGACCGTAAAAATTCGTTCGGTCGCATTAAAATTCGATTGAGGTAACTGAGAGCAACCTCCCCCACGGGAATCTTTCTGTCCCTACGACTGGGTTTTTTCATCTGGTTTTCCCCAGACAACAGAAAATTCAGTTACACTGACGGAGTTATTTTTCCGTATCACTGCTTCCCGGCTGCACTGTGCGGAAATCAATCGTAGATCTCCGTCCAACTTGAAATCGTGTCTTTCGTGCCTCACAGAGACCGCAGGACATTCTTCGCCGACGACATCTTCATTCACCTGAACGACGTGGCGAACGAAACGAACAGTCTGCCGCCCGGCCTGACCATCAACGGCATCGCCGCGCCGTGGATCAGCCGGGACAGAGTGCCGTTGGTCACGGTCATACGCGATTACGAAACTGGAAAAATTAATCTCAGCCAGGTAAGCTGGACAGAAGCGTTGTTTCCCGCAAGGACGAAGCTAGATACGATTTTCGCACGGATAACGAATAGCGGAGATGACCACGCGTGTGCTATTTACTCGCGGTCAAGGCGTTTCTCGGCAACGGAAGTCGTTGCATTTACTGTAGCGAGAATTCGCAGACTGAAACGGGATCGAGATATAGTGAAGTAAAAAATACCAGTCCACGCGAACACGTATCTAATCCTGGACATTCTTATTATATTGATCTTTAAATACGAATATCTAAACTTTTAACACAGAATAAATATATATGTTCAATAAATGTATATATATCTTTTATGTGTTAAAAATTTAAATGTTCACTTTTTTTAAGACTAAACCAATAAAAATGTCCGGGCATTGGTACTGTTACCTTAACAACTGCATTTCAATAACGATCATGATCAGATAGAAAAATCGAAAACATGGTGCCAGGCTTAAGGAATTATTTGGGACAACTGTCGAACAATGTCGCGGAAAAATGTACAACGCGTATAAGATAGAAGTAAGTGAGAATTGTAGTAATTTGGATAATAACGATAAACATCGTACAGTGAAATATTATTGCGTGATATAATCGTGCAGGCAGTCGTCGCGTTAATTATGAAACGCACAGTTACGTCCGGAACGAGCGTGTTGCTCGTCGCAAACGAAGGAATGTAACCATTGATAAGTTCGGTCGTGAAGAGGCATTTGCATACGCCTCAGTTGATTATACTAACAAGCGCTCGTCGGTCCCTGAAGCGACATGCGCTACAACTGCCGCGTCGCGTCGTTCCGAAGAAACAATCAAGGACTAATGCCTTTAGTACAAAACACGCATTGCGCAATACTTGCGAGTCTCGCTCCTATGAGAACACATAACTGATTACGCGATTATTCTGCATGCAATTCATACGCGCGAGTCTATGCGATCCCAGATTTAATAACTAAATATTTAAATGCTTGGATCATACACATTAAATTTATAGACATTTCCTTAAAGTTAAACTTTTAGATATAATCAACACACCTGTTGCAGTCCGTATATTGCAGTCTTTTTATAATTAATACATTTATGCTAATATGCTTAATGTTCGTTTAGATATAATAATGTGCGAAGAGATCAGCAAATTGAAAGAAATATCTTATTCTATTTTTCTAAAATGTTTCGCTCCCTAGAAAGTCTACTTGAGAGACGCACCTCCGCAATCAACGGCAACGATATCCTATCAGTGGGACATCCCGATCGTTATGCAGGCCGAGGATAAACTAAACTTTTTCAACACCAAGCCGACTGTGTGGCTGACGAAGCAGAACGAGCCGAAGAATTTGACCATTCCAGACATCACCGATGAGGACAATTTCATAATCGTCAATCCCGAAGAGATAGGTACGTGGACATTGCACTTTTGTACGAAAATTACAAATCGAGATAATTGTGGAGATGAAAAATCTGAATATATTGTGTAAATTTCACTACGACGCAACACTTCCGAGCGAGACTCCTAGTCGAATCGTTTCCCCCTCCGCAGGAATGTTCCCGGTAAATTACGACTCCTGCAACTGGAAGATGCTCTCGCAGTACCTGCAAGGTCCGGATCGCGAGAAGATACCGCCATTGACGAGAGCGAAACTCCTGCACGACGCGTGGAATTTGGCTTACGCCGGCGAGCTATGTTTCGGCATCGCCATGAATATGACTCTCTTTCTCAAGGAGGAGAGGAACCATGTGGTCTGGGAGCCGGTGTTCACGATGATCCACCACATCGGCCGCCGAATCGAAGGTTTGGACGTGTATTTGAAATTCGAGGTAAGTGGATGCCAATGTCGATCGAACGTCGAGCGGCATTTGCATCGATTTAAACAACACCGATGTTATAAATATATCGGTGTTAAACGGGAAAATTGATGGAGTGGGCGTAATTAATAAAGCGAGCATTAGCGTTCGCGAGCGTGATCAGCGCTGGATCTCGACGTTGAATGCTTCAATTCGCACGGCAGGTGCAATCGATATTAAATATTGATTACGCGCGTCGAATTGCATGGCGTCATATTTCATACATACACACACACACACACACACACACCCACATACATATACATAATATATAATTAATTTAAACTTAGTGAATATCAGTCGGCGCGTGTATGCGCGACCAACGAAACGTTGGCGTAAACGTAACCTTAACAAACATTCCTTGGGTTTTCATTCTTCATTTGTCTTCTCGTTATTCCACTTGAAAGTTCTCCATTCAATATATACATGTTTTTACTCCACTAATATCAAGGTATCTTGATTCTGATGACAATGAGTAAGTAATTACACGATATCAATGTAACCAGGCTTACATCAGAAGCTTGTTGAAGCCACTCTATCTAGAGCTTGGTGACAACGCGCAACCTAACGATCCCTCCTGGAAGACTCATATGCGCGGTCTCATCAAGAACTTCCTCTGTCGAGCTGGATACGAGCCCTGCGTTAAAGAAGCCCGGGATCAGTTCAAAAAATGGTTGACCGACGAGGAACCGGACAAAGGAAATCCGTTAGTAGACAGTTCCTACAAATGCGAAAGAAGACTCGACAGAAGTTTAATTAATTCACTCTCTCGAGAGAGAGATACCCGTTTCTCTGACACTTGACTCCTTTTGTTCGCGTAATTGGCATATAATTGGAGTATTTTTAGTAAACTCTTTCGAGAAAATCACGCAGACATAATAGAGTAACATAATTAAAGAAAAAAAAACGCTTTATCGATAAAAGTTGTTAGAAAAAAATTCTGCTGTACAGGGTCGCCAATAAATTCCTCTGCCCAGTGTTCAAATGGGGCACCGACGATGAATGGGAATTTGGATTGCAGCGCGTCATAAATTTCCCGCAGAATAGCTTGGCGAGGAAGCAAAACGAGCGGACCTACCTCCTGAAGACATTAGCCGGCTGTCCGAAAGACGCGAACAAGATCGAGAGGTAGGTATAATTCGCGAAATGGACGCGACTTTTTTGATTTTGCCGCGAGACAAACTCTGTGTCTATTTCGCAAAGCGCATTCGAACGGAGGTTGTACGTAGTCGCTCTCTCTTTCTCTCTATCTGTTTTTCTCTCTCTCTCTCTCTCTCTCTTTCTCTATCTATCTCACTGCCAACTCCTGCACGAGCCCGTCGTGTTCCCGATGAACTGAAACTTGCGCTTCGTTTAAAGCGAAGCGCGGTCATCTGAAAGTTTAATGCGCGGGCGTCATTTGAATAAGAAACCAAACGACAAAGGGCCGCTCGAGATAACGCGAGTCTAATTTACCCGTCCATAAATATTCCTCGCGAAAACCAAAGAGAAAAAGAGCGACGGTTACAGCAATACGAGCGAGCTCAACCATGACAATAAATAAATAAACGTCGCCTTGTTTGATTCTCCTTTCGCTCGTCAGACTGCTGCAAGTAGCCGTGTTGGATCAGAACGAGAATTTTACGGACGCGGACATCCACCTGATCTTCAGTATGTTGACCGGCAGCGCGACCGGTTACAAAACCCTCTTCAACTTCCTCATTCAGCACTGGTATACCGTGAAGGAGCGATTCGAGAACAAGACTTACTTGTGGGACGGCATCGTTAACTTCGCCACGTCGTCCTTCAACACCCAGGAAGGTTACGACATGGTGAGCAAGCTATACATGGACCACCAAAACGAGTTTGAGACAGCGGATGCTATCATCAAGAAGGCGCTCAAGGTCATCAAACAGGAGACCAAGTGGAACGAGGAGAACGTGCCGGTAATTGACGCCTGGCTCAAAGACCATCTATCCAAGGAGGACTTGGACGCGATCCTGGCTTCTACGTCCACCACCGTCCCCTCCACGACTATTATACCCACAACGACGGATTAGCCAGCTGAACGTACACGGGCGATGTTATTAGACAGGCAGAACCCGATCAAATAGACTTCAACAAACTCGAATTTGGAATGTATTACAGTATTTGATCCGCAAAGAATTAACGGTTTGTTTCTTCTCTAGAGGAATTTTTTATTCGTTCCTCTTAATGTAGTTATAGCGATTTCTCTTCATTTCTTTTTGCTAAATCAGTAATAACGTCGCTTAGATTTTGTTAATTTTTATTACATGTAGTTTTTATTAGAAATCACATCAGTGAAATCTTGCGAAATTGATAGCTCAGACACGTATACGGGTGACGGAAAACTCGCGTTTCCGGGTAAAGACTGGAACGTACACAGCATAATTAGAAAACAGTCCTGATAGATGTAGACTAAACTTAAAAGCAACGAAAAGTTTGAAAGTAATATTGTATTATAGTTAAATTTTTATTTTTGTAAGGCAAATGAAAATCGCAATATCGCTCGTGATGTATTTATTTCGTTCGGTACGGGAGTGGAACGTTCCTCCCTGAAAAAATTATGCGGAAACGTAATACTCATAATTATTGAAAAATTTAGTTATAGGATTTAGTATAACGCTGTCTCTCGCTAAGTAATAAAGAAAGAAAGTTAGTAATTTTAAAGCTAAACATATTGCAAACTTTGGAACTTTATTAAATATATTACACAATATGAAAATACATGTGAGTTTATAAAATTAGAGAATATATACGCCATACAATAAGATGAAAACTGATTAAAGGTGTTTTAGAGCAAAAAATGGATTAAGTTCTTGTATATGTATAGATGATACAATAAAACGACCCTACAAAAGATTTTCAAGCAGTCCTTGAATGATATATTTGACTGAAAAATCCTGTCACTTTAAAAAATATTTTTTATTTATTACTTTATGAAATTATTATCTAAATAGCATACTGTGTTCTTATTATATCAGTAATTATTAAACACTCAATTGCGCTAACAGACTGCCTGGCGCCATCTAGCAGTATCGAATAGAAACTCGTTCGTCGAGAAAGGTGAGTTGGTTAAGTATAGTTTGAGTCTCGGCTAAATAGGTTCCGATATCGACATTTAGTTTTAAATTCGTCTCCATCGTCAAAGAATTGAAATCGTAGTACAACTCAACAAGGGTCAAGCATCTTCCATCTGTTTTTCAAATAACCCTGGTAAAAAAAGTTTGCCCTGGTAAGTTCGTTTTCTATCGTTTTGAATATGGATTTGTAAAATCACAAATGTTAATAGTATTCTATTGTATACAATAGAATACAATAGATAGTGAATAGATAGAATTTCTATCGTCAGTTTCCTATATAATACAAATAGAACCCGATTCTTATAGAACCAGATAAAATATGATAGGATTTATATCTGATGCTTGCGAATGCTGACGTTTGCGAACGATAGACCTTATAGAAAACAATACAAATTGATAGAAATTCTATCGTTCTCAATCGTTCTTTATCAACTTTTTTTACCAGAGTAGTGTGATTCAACGGATGGTCAGTATTTAGGTACTTTTTTTTAAATTGAAATCAGAGAGAAGCATGAGAGCGGCCACCAACCTGATAGCGCTATCAATTTGAATAGTTTTCTTTAAGCTATATCGTTCACGCTCGCAAGTTCAGATATGAATCCTATCGTACTTTATCTGGTTATACCCGATTTTGTATTCTATAGGAAACTAACGATAGAAATTCTATCAGTATCTATTGTATATGATAGAATTCTATTGTATTCTATTGTATTCTATTGTATATGATAGAATACTATTCACATTTTGTAAATTCACGAACCAAATCCATATTCAAAACAATAGAAAATGGTTATTTTTATTCTATCGTTCTCTATAAATCTTTTTACCAGGGTTTAGCGCCTAGCTCTGGCCACTAAAATCGAGCTGGTGGCCGCTCTCAGGCTTTTCTCTGATTGAAACATAGACAAGATTCAACAAGCTATATGCTAGCTATACTTTCGAAAAAATAATGATTGCAAAATGGTTCAAAAAGTATTTTATAACTTGAAGTCTCTGCTTTCTAGAGATATTAAATTTATAATGTTGCTATGATTTATTGTCAAAATATCGAGTTAAATACGAAATAGTAGCTGTCCATCTTTCAACTTTATTTGAATTTTTACATCAAAAATGTACATTTATCAAAAATATAATAAACGTATTTAACAAAGGAAGGTTTAAACTTTTTATTCATTGCTTAGCGAATGTTGTATATTGATTCATTCGTTTATTACGGGCGATTAAAGCCGAAGGAAACTTTTTGTTTCAGCATTTTATAACTTGGTGAAAAAAATCGTATCATATTTATATAAAATCTGCGAGTTTACATCTTAAATGGGAAAGTTTACGCTTTTAAATAATATAAACCTCACACGTGTGTGCTTTTTATTTCACGCAGCACGATTTGTTAAACTTTTCAAAGAACTCTTACATTTGACAAATCGCCATTTATGTTTATAAAACACTGTAAAAAAATAAGTGAACTGTATGTTCGACAACATCTTTGGAAAATTAGAGACTTTGATCTTTAAAATACTTTTTGAAGCATTTCATTACTATCATTTTTACGTTAGTTGCAACTTTGTCTATTTTTCGTGATCGAGAAGAGTGATCGTTGAATTTTATAAAATATTTAACTTTGTACATACAATCTATATGTTTCATGAAATATAAAAAGCAAAACCAGCAGATTTTCTCCGTCATCGGAAATAATAGAGTCCACAAAGTATTTTTATATATCTCGAGTATAGTGATGAGAGCCGCGACAACCGACAGCAAAGTAAAACTATTGTCTAGCAAGAAATTTCTTGCTGTATTATTATTAACGGTAAATTACGCAAAAAAAGTGTGAAAAATCTTACCGTAAAATACATCAAATACATCACATATAACATTAACATGATTTGAAAATATATTAATATATTTACTGCCTCACGTGTGACATTTTTCAACATACATAGTATAAAGATTACAATGTGGTCACTTAAATATCATACACAGAATATATCATTTTTTTTTTCATAAAAAAGAAACTGATCAATAAAAGCCTAAAACGAGGGCCCCGAGCTCGTTGCAGACACCAATAATGCTTTTTCTATCTACTACGCGCTAGGATCCGCATCTTAGAACCTTCATCGAATCATCTTCCTCTTTTGCCCAGAAATGTAAGGACCTTTACCTTCCTCGTGTATTATTTTCTTCTCTTTTTTTTCTTTCTTTTTTTTGTTAAGACACATTGTCGAAGTCTTTCACGTTGAAATTCAGACGACAAATAATCTCAATTTTATTTATTGATTTGATGTAATATATAACGTAATAGACATCGATAATATTCATTTCTTGTATTTATGGTCTCTATTAATACAATAATCTATATAAAAAAGAATAAGATTTACCTTGCAAATGTATCAGACAAATTATTTAAACAAACCTCTTTGGAGTTATACAACAACATGGATGATTTTCCAATGTAACGGTAGTAGCAAAATTGCGAGATTATAAATGTAAAATTATTGCAGAGCGATTACCAAAATGTCATTCGTTTGTTGAAAACGAAAGGTCAACTATATCTTGCGAAATTCACGCAAGTTTTTTACTTCATACTAATCATACTAGACAAATTGAAAACTAGTCACTCAAATACAAATATCGATCGATCCAATCGACAATATTTAAATTATCTTATCGCATCATATCTGCACAATTGCAATCGCATTCTTTTTAAAAAGAGTACACATACATTCGGAATGTGTTTAAGGCGGCATTTGACACAGTTCAACACTCGAATTTTCTTTTATCTTACATGAATTCAATTACAGTCCATATCTTCTTGTACGAAGCACGTCAAGGAAATAATTCTCATGTGTAACCGCAATTACTTAGGACCGTTTCTCGCAGTAGATGAATCTACGGGCGCGTAACATCCATTTACAAAATTCCACTTAGTTTGAAGGAATCGGCAGTTTCTTATATGCCCCTTGAAAAGTCGGGAATTCAGAAGAGGTTCCTGCTTAGAAATCAGAAGCGAGAAGTTGAACAACTTTTTTTTATTCTCTTTACTCTATATATTGAAGTAAATCTGTTTCTTCTCGCAAGTTATCACTCGCTTCTGATCTCCTAATTCAATATAACTACAGCGAGGGATCAGGAATCTTAATACGTTCGATCAATTGATATAGATACTTTGTTATAATCTCTCTTCGCTCGTTAAATTCTTCTTCTTCCTGCTCCACTCTTTCATCTTTTCCGTGAATCATATAAATAACATTTCAGTTAAGGTTACAAAGTCACATTTATCGCGAAATATTGAAGCGGCGGGGCGCTGAAACACGCGCGTAAAAGAAAAAAAAAATTAACGTTCTAAGGAGCTAAACTACAGCAGGAATTGGTTTTTCGCGCGGTTTTGTAAAACGCCTTTGACTGAGCGCTGAGTCCCTCCGACTTGGCGACTAGATCATCCAGTTTTTCACCCCTCTGGAGTGCCGCCTCTAACGTATTGTGCTAGTAAAGCATATTACAGAGTTCTAAGTATTCATGCAGTAATCATTTAGTGAAGTTAACGTTCTTATCGAGTAAATTGTCCTTTACGAGAAAGAGAGAGAGAGAGAGATAAACCAACTCTTACCAAGATAATTTTCGTCTCGTCCAGGTCGTTTTGCATCTTGGTGAGCGCGTCCGCCTCGACCGGATTCTGATACTTGGCTAGATACGTATTAATTTGTCGAAAATCAGATGTGACCTCCCGCAACGTGGGCCACGTTGATGGCGGGTGCTTCGTCGCAAAATCGTCCATCACCTTCGTGAGCAAAGTGTGAGCGACTCTCCTAGGATACTCATGATCCGAGATGAGAACTGCGGCTAGATTATCGGCACGCACGTACACATGGCACATGTACTCTACACAAAAAAATAATGTATACATTCGGGTGATTAATTTGACATCACTTTTCCTCCATAAATTTTGCAACACATTCCATATTGAACAAGAAAACATATCTCCTGAGAATATTACTAAAATAACAAGTTTCACTGTTGAATATGAGATGCCTTACAAACCTCATCAAGGTTTAGAATAATATATAAGGACAGTGGAGATAGATTTAAGGAACGTTTACGTAGGAAATATAGGAGAAATATGTGGATGGATGTATGAGTTATAGAAATATTGTAAACCAAATCCCCTTCTCGGCTATGTATGCAAGCTGAAGAAAATAAAAATACTATTACTACTACAAACCTCATATATAGTTAGGGCCGATTGGTTGGCTTATGGTTTCTTATGGTTTTATTTCTTATGTATAGTTTGCTGGTTAAGGGTTGATTTTTCCAATCTCTTGGTAACCTAATAGTTAATGGCTAATTTTTCTCTTAGTAAGCTAACAGTTAAGTCATAGGTCTTTGTTTTTTCTTCAATTTAAACAAAGATAAACATACGACAACTGTTAGTTTACCAAGAGATTGAAAAAATCTGCTTTTATATAATCAATGGACTGTACAGTCGGTAACACTTTCTCTTGAAGTTTGTAGTAATAGTATTTTTATTTTCTTCAGCTTGCATACATAGCCGAGAAGGGGACTTGGTTTAGAATATTTCTATAACTCATACATCCATCCACATATCTCTCCTATATCTCCTACATAAACGTTTCTTAAGTCTATCTCCACTGTCCCTATTTATAATTGTTCTAAACTTATCATAGTTAACATCACAACTTTATTTTACTTGATCTTTTTTACTTAACCTCTCTACAATGCTAAATATACTATCCTAAATCTTGATGAGGTTTGTAAGGCACCTCATATTCAACAGTGAAACTATACATAAGAAACCATAAGAAACTATACATAAGAAATAAAATCATGTCATTCAGAAAAATTTCAATAAAACAATATTTCAAATCAACAATATCAAAAGACTTGAGCTATTTATGATATCAAAAATTTGAGGCTGAAAATATTCCTGTAACAATTACCTCCTTCTTTGACACTTTGCCTAGCACTTGTCTGCGTTCTTTCCACAATAGTCTTACTGACAAAGCCCATGAATTCCTTAATACTGTTTTTCTGAAAGAATGAAAATGACTCTACATCATAAGCAACTGCCAACTGCGTCACCGATGTAGGGTTTTTATATAAAATTGTTAGAGCATATAGTTTCACCATTTTAACCTGCAAGAAAGAAAACAGATGCAATATTAAAATTTGTTTGACAACTGATACTTGTGTTAGTTGTTGTAGATAAGACTATTTTATCAACATATATTTTATCAACATATAAATAACAATAGGAGAATATTAAGATAATTGACTTTGTAGAATATTAGCACATACTTTTTTTATCATTTATCACGTTTTAAAATAACCTGCAGTTTGAAGTGTTAAGTTACCAAATAGCTAAAAACTGATTGTTCCAATCTCTTGGTAAGCTACCTGGCAGTTAAATCGTGTGTCTGCTTCGTTTCTCCCTCAAAGACAGACACAAGATGTAACTCTTAGGTAGTTTATCAAGAAGTTGGAACAATAGGCCCTAAATCTAATCCAAAAGAAAAAAACAACTGATTATAGATCTCATGTCACAGGTTATGTACTCGCACTAGGCAAACAATTCATCACCTGATCTATATATCTTTATGATATATTATAAAATTCGTTAAGTTTGCGACTCAAAGATAAGGGAAAGTTCTCGTTGTCGCTTGTAAATTATAAAAACGACAAACTTATCCTTACTATGTACAGTGGGTCACAAAATGATTTAGACACAATGAATTTTAGAACGTAGCCGATAGTCCAGTGAGAGAACTTATTTTTGAATAATTTGTTCTCTTATTGGACCATTAGCTATGCTAATATTCATTGTATCTAAACTATTTTATAACCTACCGTACGTGCAGCGGATAGAAAAGTCTCTCGTAATAATAGTAAATACTGTCAAACGTATCAAACCTCGTTTCTTTAGTATATGTATCGTTACAATTTGTTAAGTCTTTGGTGATAGAGAGAAATCTTGCTGTGCGTGCAATTCTCTATATATCAGGGTATTCGTTCTGTTCTCGATGACTCAGATAACTCACTAACAAATCATCCTGATTCTTCCACAGACTTCACAATATCCTAGACCATAATACATATCGAGATCATATGGTCAGATGTGACGCCAATGAATTTGCATTATCTGGTGACGAGCGTGTTTGGTTACAGAACTAGTAAAGTTCATTAGTCGTATGTTTTCTTCCTCTTTTCTCTAGTCAATATCGAATCCTATTGGAACGCAATAAAGAGACGTGCAGTACGCCCGCTATTGGCCAGACTGGAACTCAAATGGTTCTGCGCAATGTCGTTCATAGATAACTTTATTCGCGAATATGTAGAATGAAAACAAAAGTGTCAAATAATTGTCAAATATTTATGTATGTACATGAGCACTGACAGGATTGAGATAATATAAAATGGCCGAGAATGGTTTTGCGTCCGACAATTACGCCGAAGAATCCCTTGTTACAGAAGCTATTAATTTAGACATCGAGGAGGTACTCATATTACATTAGCGGTTATCTGTGTGCACGATAAGTTTTATACTATAAAGCTATAATTATAATTTTATATTAATACAAATTAGACAATTACTATTTCCTGCATTCTTATCTATGTCATCTTATCTTCGTCCACTAATTGTTACAGTTCTCTTTATTTCACTGTAATATTAGTAAAACTTATTAAGGCTATTCTAGCCTGAGTATAGTGGTCACATAATTCTCATTCCTTCTAGTTAGATAATACTGAATATGCTATACCAATCGTGGAAGAATTACCCACCTTAGAAAGTATATTGTTGGAACCTGATTATGAGTCATTGTCGGAAACGGATGATGATATCGGTATACCAGTGGGAGAGAGACTCGGTAGTAGTGAAACCACAAGCATTGGCAGTCATTTGTCTTTGAATTCGTTAAATAAATCTTCGAAAGCCACGCAAAAGACTTCTTCAGGTGTTATTCTAAGGCATGTCATACTAAAGGGGATATCGTCACAAATTGTATCAGCCAATGTAAGCAGCTGTTATATGGAATACATTACATATATTTTTTTCCCTTATACATTCTCAAAATTCTCAAAACCTACATGTATCAGTTAAATGTCTTGTGTTATCTAGTCACTAAATGTGATTTGTGATATAGGAAAGAGTCAATGCTGGATTTGCTAGTGCAGTCGCAGCTGGGGGGAATATGTTGGTGATTGGCACTAGTCATGGTTTAATACTTGGCTTTGATTCATCACAAACTTTGCGATGGTGTGATCAGGAAGCGAGACATCAAGGTTCTGTTTCTGCCCTCTGTTTCAATCATGAAGGCAGCAGAATATTGGCTGGTTTTGTCAGAGGACATATTCTGATGTTAGATAGCAGTAATGGGAAGGTTTTAAGAGTTCTCACTGATGTACACCCACTTGATACTGCTGTGTTACACGTTAAGGTACATCTTGCCATTGATTCTCTAGTATGAAAATGCAATGTTTGAACTATATTACATTATATCTAGAACTTGTCCATTCATTTAACAGTTTCAAGCCAGTTGCTTTAGTTTACAGATTCGCCAAAAACAGCTTTATGCAGTGACAGTGGTGGGTCGGTGTTTGAACTGAACTTTACTAGAGTCATGGGTATGAGAGGTTGCGAAAGTAGATGTCTGTTTAGTGGTTCCAAAGGCGAAGTGTGCACTCTTGAGCCTTTATTGTTGAATCATCTGCCGTCGCATCCGTTGAAAAATTATACATTAGTTGCAATGGCGACATTATCGAAGGTTGTTTTTCACATTGAATACGATAGTTAATGTTGAACATATACGTTACTATTTGACTTATCTTATTTCGTAGGTAATTGTAGTTTGCATAAGACCGAGAATGCGAGTTGTGTTGAGTCATCCGTTATGCGGTGCTGCAGCAGCACCTCCACAACTATCTTGGCAGTTGGTTGTTATACAGACAGCGGATGGGATCACTCGCGTGATCGATCCTGTACTGGCGCTTGCGAGAGACAACGTGGTGCATTTTTACCAAGTACTGCCTCATTTAATAATCATATATTATTTGGTCGCTCTTTATTAAAGTCAAATTAAGAGGTCGAAATGCTTCTTAACAAGGTGTACACCGAGGTAGGCTCGCGTGTAAAATTATCTCCTCTTCGGCGGATGACCCTACCGTATACGATAAGTAATTTGAGATGGTTAAATCCAAGATCTCTCATAGTGCTGGATACGCAAGAGAAGCTGCATTTATTAGACGTAAGAGCGCAGGATAATCTAGAAACATTGGATATGAGTCGCGTCGGTATTTCTTATGCTTCTAGTCATTTTAAGGGACTATCTACTGGCGGGAATGTTTCTAAGGTACGCGAGAGAAATACAATATTCTTCATCGTTTCACACACAGCATATGTGCGAATTGTTACATGTTATATTTTTCTTTTATATAAGGCAATGGCATTAGCTGGCGAACGAGCGTGCTACAATACTGTTGTAGTATTTGGCACGCAGCTGTTATTATTAGGTACAAAAAGTTTGCATGCGATTTGTATAAGAACATGGACTGAAAGGATACAACATCTGATCATGCAGGTCAGTTTAAAGCAATAGCAAGCACTTTCAACTCAGAATAAACTGTTCCATTTACTTTTCAGAAGCGTTTTCCTGAAGCGTTAGCATTAGGTCTCTCTTTTTATCAAGATAAAGGCAAAGCGGTGATCGGCCTACGGGGTTCTAAACAGCGTCGTAAGCAAATAGCACGTGATAAAGTCTGTCAAGTACTAATTCAATACATGGATGAGCTGAATCAGTGTTTAATTGACGAAAATATGGACTACGATACAATAGTGCTCACCTGCGTCGATTATTGCATTCAACTGGAAAACTTAGATTTGTTGTTTGGAAAGTTATGGGACATTGTGTTCGAGACGGAAAGCTTAAAAACAAGCTACTTGCACGCTCTCGAAGCTCCTTTACTAGACGGAAGCCTTCAATCCAGATTACCACCGTTAATCGCCCAACAATTAGTCTCTCTGTACGATCAGGAGAACAAAGTAGACTCACTGGAAGCGATCATAGTTCTGCTTAACGTAGATTGCTTAGACATTCATCAGGCGAGTATATTTTCCAATACATAACCCGTGTGAACAAACGGACGTTTTAAACTCGATAATGCCCATATTCGTTTACAGGTGACAATAATCTGTCGTCAACGAGGGCTTTGGGAAGCGCTCATCCATCTTCAAACAACGGCGCTTGGCGATTTTACTGCGCCGATTCATCAATTGGTTCCGGTACTTCAGAATTTGTTGTATGACGCAACGACCGCTCTTTCCCGAGATAGTATAAAACTTGGGAATGCCATTCTGGTTTATACCAGTTGTTGCCTTGCTGGTCGCGGGTTCCCTAAAGACGAGCTTCCTGAGGATATGCCGCAAAAAGCGAAAGCGGATATACTGAGAGCTTTGCTCTCCCAACATTCCAGTCTAGCAAACGATACAGAGAGACAGTATCCGTATTTGAGGACACTCCTGCAATTTGACGCGAAGGGCTTTCTCGACGTGATAGCCATCGCTTTTCAGGAGCCAGAATTTACTTCCGAAATGGGTCTCCGACACAGGCAGCGGCTTATAGATATTTTGTTAAGTATCGTTATGCCTAGCACACCGCTCAGTCCAAAAAACACCGATTACATCACGCTGGAGCAACAGTTTATGGTTCTTATATTTGTGGCAAACGAAGTATCCGAGAGTACCGTCATATTGGAGTCCAGTATGTTGAATAAAATGCTTGATGTATTGTGCATCGATCTACATGTGGAAATGTTGAAGGACTTTAAGACTGAGAGAGAAAACGCTATATTGGGATTATTGCATTCTAAAAAGCTGTGCAACATCTCCGATAACACTTTACTGAATTTAGCAAATAGAGCGGGTTTGTAAGTATATTTATCTCAAGATACTTTTCATGATTGATAATCGCATTGCATTACGCATTATCACGATTATTTCGTATTGCAGTATAAGAGTCGCGGAATTACTGTACAGCGCGAGAGAAGACTGGGTAGCAGTATGTAAATGTATGATTTTAGAATTGTCCAGGCATCACGATATATGGTCCTGGCTCGAACATCTGCCAGCCGCTTCGTTGGACCAAGTTGTGTCGGCTCACGCTCCGACTCTCGTGACGATTAATGCGAATCAATTCGCCACGATCGTCGCGACGCGACTGCAAAGTAAAATCAATGTGATACTGCAAAATCTTGGCAATAATTTAAATTTAGAGTATAACTTGCTAGGAGCGTTATATCAGATCGCACAATATAAAGAAGAGGATGTCTCTTTGGAATTATCGACTGAACACTTGGAGAGATATTTGACATTGATGTGCGAGTTGAAACCGGAATGCGTAGTGGCTCATATACACGGGCCGCATGGTTGCAGATTAGATGAAGCATTGAAGCTCGTTCAAAAGTGGAAATGTAAGGACGCGGAGGCGGTAATGCTAGAGAAGCTGGGCAATTATCAAGACGCATTTAATCTTCTACTGAAGGAATTTGAGAATTATCTGGAGCTCTATCAACAAAATAAGGCTTCAGAGAGCGAAACTGTACACGCTGCTGCACAACTCGCGGGAATATGCCGAAGATCGGCAGGAAATTTAGACTGGATGCCGCTCATTGAAGCGGTATTTCGATCACATTCCGAAAACAATAAACCACAGATGGACAAATTAAGTGGAAAGCTGTTGAGATTGATTCTAGAATCACTGAGTGGCACCTCCATTCTGTCGAATATATTGGAACAGATTCTGAGGAATCCTTTGGCGACGAGCGGGACAATGGGTGACATACGACAACTATTATCCGGAGTTCTCACTCAGTCGCGATACGAGCAGACCCTAGTCGAGACCACCGCACGATTAGTGAGCTTAGAACTGCACAAGGCTCTAGAGAAATCTCTGAGGTACTGTGTGGAAATTTAGAATAATATACGAGTACTCATACACGAGTATTATGAATATCTCCTTTATTTATGAATAATAATTACTTTTCTACCTAGGGACGCCGGTCGAGCATGCGGTAACGTTTCTGTAACCTGCCCGATATGTAGACAACCATTGTCGCATTGTTCCGATCACATAGTGGTATTTGGTTGTGGTCATGGATACCATTCGGCTTGCCTGGGCGAACCTAAGTCGTGTTACAAATGTTTGAACACAAAAGGTTGGGCACCTATCGCTACCAATGTCACACACACCGCTCAGTCTCCACTGGTTAGTCATAACAGTGACATTCTCTCCTATATTTCAATTTTATATCAAAGAATCTTTTCATTACTTTTCTTAGTTATCATATATTCTATATCTATATGATGGGAGGTTAATGTTATATTTTTATATTTTTTTTTTAGAGAAGGAAACCTCTTCTTCCTCCAGAATTTCTGCGTCACAAAGACCTCACGCTGAGACTGGCGCCGCTCTGTCCTACTCCTGACCTTGAGGGTATCTTTTAATCTAGTCTTTGAATATCGAAATTGGCGATTACATTTGCAAAACGGTACGTAGTACTTTAAGGGATATCAGAATGAATGTATAATACTAATAGAAGTTATTACGTCGGATTTTGGCACTATGATCGTTCTATCTGCGATATATTGTATAGTACTAAGAGATAAGAGCTCCATTCCTTGAGATTTTATTTGTTCGACGTGCTGGTGTCTACGACACGTTGCCAAATACAAGTTATTACTAAAATACATATAGATATTTATTATGTTGTTTATGAAATCGTTATTCTTCCGCTGAGAGAGAACGCCAATAGCGACTTTTGCACAAGACACAGAATATCTTCGTAACGTTTTTACATCGCTGTTTATATCATAAACATAGTAAGAATAGACCGAGTGTGTCTCTACTTGACATTGAAGATCAGGTAGAAAAGAACAGAAAGCAGATACAGAAAAAGACAGAAGATAAGTGCAGTGTAGCTTTCTCGCTCTAACTAGGGAAGAGTGAGAGAGAAAGATACATGGCACTTATCTTCTGTCTCTTTCTACCTGAACTTCAGGTGGAAAGCGTCTCATGCTCGGTCTATTCTTACTATGTCTATGGTTTATACTGACATCAATGATGAACGTCCGTTCTGCGTTTAGTTTTGACGATGAAAACCGGTTTCTTGGGTGCGTTATCTGCTAATACACGATATGGATTCATAGGTTCGTCATCTAATAATTCACCAGTGAGAAGTTTTGCAACGATTGTAAAAACATGTAATTCTGTACATTCGGCTCTGTTCATTAGCGATACTTCGATAGTAGAAGCGTACACCTCTACGGCCGCTTCTAGCTTGACAAGGAATGGAATCAACTTGGATATAGCTAAATAATGTTGTAACTGCAAATCGAGAGAAGATTTATTATATAATTTTATTTATAGAAGATCAATCTCGATTTCTATCTTGCGAATCGTCCTTACAACGTGCGACTTTGAAAGCAGTATTTATAAATACGTGCCTTATGATCGCATCTTTTTAGATTGCTCAATAAATCTTCAATTTCATCGAGCAAAGCGTAACACTTGACGATATGTTCACGACTGTATCCGTGCTCATGAGTATTCAGTAACTCTTTCGCCAAAGAACTCTCTTTCTTTATCTTTTCAAGCAGCAACGATAACGGCACTCCCGATAACTTGCGGCTAGCCATTCGAATTTTGGAACATTTTTCACATACCTGTATGATCAGTATATCAGTGTAAATATTTATATGTAGAAAATAATTAAGAAATTTCCTCATATAATAAATTATATAACAGATGTTATCACAAAAATAAAATATATAGATGCTTTACCTGTTTATTAACAGAAATCCATAGATTAACAATCCCATTTACAAATTGCTTAAGATCACTGTTCACGGAACTGTAATTTTCAGATAAATATAGTAACGATTGAATTTTATCCGTCAGCCTACTCGACATTTTACCAAACCACTCGAGTTTATCGCGAAATTTAAGATCGACGTCCAAACTACAACTTTCCGTCTTGAGTATGTTCACCTGTATAAAATATACCAAAGTAATATATTATTTGAACGATAATTAAACAGTAAAGCGTAGAATTTCAATGTTTATACGATGTCAACTTACGTTTTTCTCGAGAATTTGCATGGGTTCACAGACTGAAGTAACGTTCATCGCCATAACACTACTATTGCAAGAGTTACTATAATTATGATTTCTTTTGTCATATTGGCTATTAAACAAAATTGGCAGTTCCATGGCCAACCCGTTATTATCCAGTTCGTGATAGTCTCCTTTTTCCAGGGATAGATATATTCAGTTGTTTCTTTATTGACGTTATGGCTCATATAATATAAACGACATTATTGTTTTCTTGAAACATGTACATATTCTGGCATCAGCTTGCTTGTGTGTATAGTATAGATCATTCTATAATACCGCATATTTAACTTCATTAATGTAATGTATGCTATGTTTCATTGATGTACCAGTTGCTATGTTCGGCTAGCGTCTTATTCGGATAATGATGTAATGAGGTATCGTAGGATTTGTGATAATTGAGGATTGACTTCCCCACATGTCGCTTAAAAAATTAACTTATGGCTTTTGTAACTTTAACTATTAATAATAATTCTTAGTGTTAAAAGCCCTATCTTATTATAAGTAATATACAATATTACATATTTTTTTTATATTATTAATATTATAATTAGAAGTGGTTATTTATATAGTTATACACAACTTATATCTTGACCATAGTAGAAATATCTAAAAATCATATTTAAACTTGCACTTATTGACAGGGATTTGCTATCAATTGTAATTCATAGTAGTAAAAGAAAATAATGCAAACGTCGTCGAACATACTGGTTGTTATGCTCGCATTTCATTTTAACATACAGATTACATTTTCCTAGAAATCAATTATCGTAGCTAGTCACTCTCTCTCTTTTCTCTCTCTCTCTCTCTCTCTCTCTCTCTCTCTCTCTCTCTCTCTCTCTCTCTTTGCGTAGAATGATAATGTTCATTTCCAATAGGGGGAAGAGTACCTCTATTGAAAAAAAGATGGGACGGATTATGAATATCCTGAATATCTCAAAACAATAATAAAGTTATTTACTATAAGACCTAAATTTCACGTACTCACAAATTTAATACAAAAACATTTTATTAATTTTCTTTTTGACATTGCAACAAAAACTGTTCATTTTCATATGCTGCTAATGAACTTTCTGCTAGAATTTTCTTATGCTATTTTGTCATTGCTTATAAGAGGAATAAAGTGTAATAAAGAATTATACCATATATATATGGTATAATATATATACATATATACATACATACATATATATATATATATATATATATAATATACATATATATATATGTGTATATATATATATATATATATATATATATATTATATATATACATACACACATATATATATATATATATATATATATATATATATATATATTATATATATATATATACACATATACACATATATATACACACACACTCACTCACTCTCACACACACATATATACATATATATATATATATACATATATATATA